AAGCTAACTGAATGTCAACAAACGTTTCCCACAGACTGCACCTTTAACTGCTAGGAAATCACCAGAATCACTACATTGTCACAGCTCAGCAAAGTCAAGTTTTTGTTGTTTGATTTAGTCCCATATATACAATGCTACTGTTGTAAATACACTCCACTGCAACAAATTTGCAAGATCTTTAACCATTTCTGTAAGCTAATGCTTCAGAGGATAAAACACTAATTGTAGAACCTATGAAATCTTAAATATTTAGATGATTTCACATGAGTTTCAAGCTGTATAACGGCACAGCAAGTATTAAAATTTAAAATACGCAGCAAACAAAGAGAAAATGCTGCATGAATTTTCAACTTTTACAATTGAAAGCAAACAAAACCAGAAACATCTTCAACTTCAATCTGACATAAACCACGCAATATACAGTCACTAACGTTCCAACATTTAAAAGAAGTCAGCCAGTGGTGTATTTTCCAAAAGGTTTTAATATCAAGTATTTGCTGCCTTGAAACATTTCTGCACCATTTTACAAAAGGCCTGGCAGTAATTTCGAATGTGCACACACACTTATCCCACACAAAACAGAGACAGTAGGAGAAAGAACTTTTCTTCATACTGTTTGAGACACTGTTTGAAGTGCTCTTAGCTGCTCATCTCGTCATCACGTTTCACTGTGATTCCTTAAGAATTTTCTGTAGCTCGTTTTGAAATTGAAATAAAAAACAAATCAAACAAATATATGTATATATCAAAAAAAAACTGCACAAGTCAGAAAGATGTGGAAGACAGGAGGAGAGTCTTACAAACACAGAGGTTCAAAACACATCTGCAGCCAAAGACGAGAGCAGCTGATGTCACAACATAAATGCCGGCGTATGTATTTGAATTCTCAAGCGTTTTGTGGTGTACATTTATAGAAATCATAAAAAAAAGGGTAGGCTGTGTCTCAGACTCTGAAATGTGCTTAGACTTAAAGTAATATTCAACTTTTACTGCCTGACAAATGTCACGTGATGATCTTCCAGTTTAACAGTGTAAAGTAACGGACACTCACAGGCACTTTGTAACGAAAGGTGCCACAGATCTAAAATCATATTAATCAGTCAGTTCAGTATAAACTCTGATCATGACCCTGAATTATATTGTCTTCATGTCTGTAGTAAAAGGACAACACTGTATTTTATGTTTGGAATGAAGATTCACTTAGTGTCACTTAGTGTGGTTCATGGACTGAGGCTTTATAAAAGGCACCTTGTATTTTCATTCAGCAAATCCATTTTCATTCTTAAAAGCCCAACAAACATGTTGTTACACGCAGTTTAGCAGGAGTTCTGCCAGCATCAGCTTTTATAGGGAGAACTTTCTTCTTAGCTTAAGGCAATGAGGTGCTTAACTGGTAGTATCACAATAAAAACTTTGGTAAACTTTGGTCCAAGACCTTCCACAGGAGCACAATTAGGACTACAACTATACTTTGTGATAGAAAGATATCAGTAAATATTTCCCCTGCTTAAAAGTAGGACCGCACAGCTCTTTTGAACAAACTGGATGTGTGGTTCTGCCTATAAACTATCTCAGCTTCAAAGTGGGGACATAAAGCAATTTGTTTTTAAGAAATTAAGTGTGTTTCTGAGTTTAACACGGCATTGCATCTACCCAAGTATCCATGTCTCATAAGCTGCATAGCAGGACAACATTCACATTTCAAGCACAGCAATGAATTCATTTTACAAATGCACACAAAAATATATATATAAACAGTGTCCTGAAGAATTGATATCGCTTTAGCTCCGAGATTATTCTTTCATAGTACTCACACAGGTACCATATTCAACTTGAAAACTTGATTAAAAAAAAAAAAAGATAATGGTCTTTTGAATGACACATGTCAGCACACCAGTCAGTGTGCTGCGAGGAGGTTCAGACGCAGAGTTCAAAGATAAAAACCTCTCATAATGTGCTTTCCGCCTCCTTCGTGTCTCTGTTTTTATAAACAATGTGTTAGTTTTTCAGAACGGCAGTGTATCCATAAAGATTTTCTCCACTATCGGTGGAGGAGGGACCAGGTCCTCCAGTTTCAGGTAAAAGATGCGCTGCAGGCCCTGAGTGCAAAGAGTCCTCAGCTCGGGGAGTTTTCCCAGAAGACGGGAAAGATAGTTGGGTTGTGTCCGGCTTGGTTCTGATCCATTTCCGCTCACATGTTCCCTTAAACAGGTGATGAGGTGACTTTGAAAGTCTTCCACTCGTTTGGGTTCTTTGAGGCCGTGGCGATCTAGGTGCAAAGATGTCTCCATGAGAAACATGGTCCTTAATAAAAACATTACATTCAAATGCAAATGAGAGTCACTGAATGAAAAGCAAGCCAAGGCTCTTACCGGTGATGATGACGAGTGCTGCGAGGCAGGCGAACAATGAGATGTCTAAGTTCATGCGGTGGAGGTTCTGAGAGAAATCCATGATGGAGTCAATCCAGTCACCAAAACTGCGAGCGCACTGCAGCCGGTGGAGGACCACACCGTTACAGAAGATCAGCTTGTTCTTCTCTGGGTTTGACCTGCACAGTTTCACACCATTATTGCAGTTTGAGCATTGAAATGCAAACATTGCTGTAGTGAAATATTAATCAACAACATATTCATTTAGCTATAAAAGTAAAACCAACCTGTATGCCAAACGGAGGATGAAGAGCTCAACGAAAGCAGATTCAAGGAGCAGCTCCTGGTCCTCTGTGCAGAAGTCTGTGAATCCTGGGATGGTTTGAGCCCAGTTTCTTATCACATCCAGAGCACCGGTCAGCAGGTCATAGAACTGCTGGATGTCACCGGCATCCTCCTTTTCTTTCATGTTGTCCACCGTCTCCTGGTACTGATGGGGGAAAAGGAGGGAGGGGTCAGTTCTCCTGTCACTGCTTTGACTTTACATCATTGAACGAGCCTAATTCAAATAAAAGAAATCTGCTGTAAGTCTTGAGATTTACCTTGGAGTAGTCAAGCTTCCCGATGGTTGGGTTTGAGTCTAAGTGAGCCCTGACGAGAGAAGCTATGATGTTGACACTTGGGGTCGTGGATGAAGCCTCGGCTGCAGTCTTGGGTTTGGAGGGAAGGCGACCTCTGCGACCTTTGAGGCTGTCGGTGCGAACAACTAAGAGAAGGGGGGGCGAGCAGAGGAAGGCACGTTTGTGACTCTCACATGGCCGTCACTGCATCCCACAATTTAAAAAACAACTGCTGTATCAGTTTCAGTTTCCCTTTTTCTGCAGCTGGCACTGTAAAGCTCTGGTTACATATGTCTGTGCTTCCTAGCTTTGGTTTCACAAGACTGTCATTACAAACCCTGGTTTCTCGTCATCATACATTAGTCACTTAGAGTTTTAAGAGAGGCTGACATTGCATTACCTTCTTTGACCATTCCCACGGCGAGACATTTCTGGAAACGGCAGAACTGGCAGCGGTTTCTCCTCCTCTTGTCCACTGGACAGTCTTTATTGGCAAGGCACACATACTTTGCATTTTTCTGGACAGTCCGCTGTCAAATGGGGAAAAAATACATTACTACACAATTATAATTTGCTCACAACATTGTGCATGATAAAAATGCACATACAAATCTGTATACTATCTTACGTTTTTTAAAAATCCAGTCAATGCTTTTATTATTGGAATGTGTAAAAATCTGTGCAAGTCGTGCACCTGCTAATCTGTTGTCGCTCTCTGTGGCATAAATACATATCTATATTAGCCTTGAAGAACTGTTCCATGACTGCCAAACAACGGCGAATGTCTTATTTAATCAAAGTAACTCAGTAGACTATTACTGAATTTTTGAGGTTGATACAAATATTTATATTTGAGAGATCAAAAAATCCAATGATACTTTGGTCATGGTTTTTTTTTGTTTCTCATATAAACACATATAGTTAACAAAATGTTCAAATAAACATCATACGAACTTGCTTTGTAAAGAACTTTGACCTAAATATGTACTCTCTAAGATATTTTACAGTTTAAAAAGTTGTCAGTGCTCTATAGTGGACATAGTTTGTCACATTTGGCCAAATTGGGCTGCAATTTTTTTGAAATTGCTATTTTTCTTGGAATATTAATGAACCTCAATGATTGCAGGTTTATTTTGTTTATAGTGGCATAAACCTGCTAATTGCTGTTTTTGCTGGGGTTTTTTTTACCTTGAAGAAACCTTTGCACCCCTCACAGGTCCGGACTCCATAGTGCTGACAGGATGCATTGTCACCACAAACTGCACAGCGACCCTCACTGGATCCTGGTGTTGGTGTTTTAGGAGACATCATGGCCCCCTCCACTATCCTGGAACTTTCCAGAGCTCCATGCTCCAGAGACATTGGTTGGCAATGAAGCGGGGACACATGTTGCTGAGGAGACAGGAAGAACGGGTCATCCTGGCCTGGCTGAGCATCCTGATGGTGCCTCAGGGGAGAGTGCTGCTCCGGTGCGGGGCTGAAGGTGAAAAAGGAGAGCTGATGAGCCATGGCCTTATCGGCCACGGAGGACGGGGGGGCTGAGGGGTAGGGGCTGAAAGGGGAGTCCCAGACAGGTGCAGACTCTGTCTGAAAACCTGGTGTTGGGGGAGAAGCAGTGGCGTACACTGGGCTGCCATAGTAGTCTGAGCCACATGATGACAGTGTTTCATCAAGGCAGCTGAGTGCAAAGGATCCTGGGTAACAGCCATATACCTGGAGATCATCCAGCTTGAAGGCTTGGTTCTGCATTTGAGGGCTGGAGCTGTCAGCTACCGCAGTGTGGTTGAATGACACTGTAGAGGCAGGAGGGGAGGTGGTAATCTTGCAGGAATAAGCATCAAACTCCCCCATGTAACCATTTCCCACCAGGGTATTGATGCTGGGCAGTGAAGACGCAGACAGCTGGTCCTTTTGGCCACTGATGTCCATCACCAGTTTGGCACTGAGGTCAGGATTCAAGAACTCAGAGCTGAAGTAGTTGTCATGGGGCAGGGATGCATACTGGGTTTGTACACAGGGCATCGCTAGGACAGGAAGACAACAACATTTACAATTACTGACAAGAAATCCAAATATTTGCCTGATGAATAGTGTTTTCATTTATCCACTAAATTTTCAGCTCCAGTGAGGTTTCTTTGTATTGTCAAATCAATGCAACCTCCATCAAATACCTACACCTCTTATTAAGACTCCACATATGACTTGATATTACTTTTTGAAATCAAAGCATGATAAATTAGTAGATTAGACACTGCTTATATCATTTAGGTTGACATGTTCTAATCCCTTCTCCGTAACCATTCAAACAGTAGCAAACATTAACGTCTTGAATGTCTCATTTCCCCAGCATGACATTTCTCCGGCTTCAGGGCCTATCAGTTCTCTTTAGAAAATGCAGAGGGTGGTCCAGAGCAGCAGTCAGATATTGTCAGATATTGTGTTACTTGCTGTTAATGCTCTGAAAACCTCCTTCAGCGGAGGGCAACCCTCTTTCACAGGCGCTGTATCAGGGAGTGTTGCAGATTGTATTTCAGGGTGGGCTAAATGCCAGCTGAAATGGGAAAGGTGGCAAAGCCTGTTTGTGTGCGTGCGTGTGTGTGTGCGTGTGTGTGTGCGTGTGTGTGTGTGTGTGCGTGCGCATGTGCTGGTTGAATGGGCGTGTATCCACAAGTGTGTTAACTTCTTTATATCATAGGTTGGTCAAAACAAAAGTGAAGCACACCTTACATGACCGCCTGATCCTTATCAAAAAATTGTTTAAACTTAAATTTGTGCTTCGCTCATTGGGAAACCACACCGCTGCAGCATCCAGCAACATTTTTCCTTTGTCCTATAAATACACTCTATACATCTTCTCGTGTAACGGCAGTGATAGACCCCACTCATAAAACATGCAGTGCAACATGTTAAATCATGTAAGTCAATAAGACGAAAACACACTGACGTAAGCTCAAACAGATGATTAAACTTGCATAGACTTGTGAGATTTGCAGGAAAGTACTCAGAGTACAGTTGCAGCAGGAGCCGCTTAACCAGCAACACACTGTCCTCAATGATGACAAAATATACTACTATATTAAAATAATTCATCATATATTAGGAATTGCAGGGTTATTTGTTTATGTTCAATTGTGAGTGTAGTTTCTGACTTTGTAGGCACAACTAGGTAATGTTTAGTTTTTGTTGGAACTGCTTCAGTGTTCAGAGTTCTTTCTACTGTTTGTATAAATGAGACTAGCTAAATCAAATAGACAGTGAATATTTTAAGGTTAATAAAGATAGTTTTATTGCAGGTTGCTGTATCAGACTGAACTAGTATTGACCAGGTGCACCTAACAAACTTGCAGCAGAGTCTGTCGCTCCTCTGACTGCTTCCCCTGAGAGGGAGGCTAAAGCACACATGCCATCTTTAAAATGTGTTTTACACCAAAGCATCCAATTAAAAATGAGTAAATGTTTCATTACTGTGTCAGCAGCTCTGCCAGCTTCATCCTATGAGCTTAGAAGTTTGGAAGAAGCATAAAATCAAGCACATCTCCCCACAGCACTAATGTCACCCCCTGAATAAACAAACAGTCCACTTAAACTCACCTGGTTCATGTAAATATCCCGAATTTGTAGGTGTTCATTTATTCCAAACCGGAGAAACAGATGAATGTCACCTCTGCCAGCTCCTGTCAGCACACACACTCATTCAAACACACTCTTCAACACACACACTGGCGGCTCCATACACTCTTGTTTTATTTTGGCTGCGTCGACAAAAGGCGGGCCCGTGCCCATATTTGGTGAACGGGGCGGTGGAACGTTCCGGGTCGCGGGCCAATCAGCGGCGCGCTCGACGCAGACGTTCTTCCGTGTGACGCACGCACGGAATTCCATTGACGCAAGAGCCGAGGGAGCGTGCGTGCTAAATATAACGACAGCGGTGCTCACGTGGGGCTATTACTGGATAAAAAATGCTAAAAATAACCGCAGTTTGGAGGTGCGGACGTTTCCTGACTGGAAATGAAGATATTCTGACAGGGAGGAGTGTTATCAAAGGCCCGGCCCGGACACACCTGGAGGGGTTTTCATTATATAGGGCTTCTCATTCAGTAGAGTGAAACTGTGTCACGCCCTCTGCCATCTCCCAGCTACACTCCTGGAGAAAGTAAGGCACCAAGAGAATCTTTAACAACTACTTATACTGAAATATAAAATGAAACGCATACAAAAAAAAACAAAGGTTCTTTTTTTGACCCATGAAATCTCAACTAAACTCCTGAAAAACTGTCAGAAGCATCTTTAACAAAAACTTCATGTAAAGTGAGATACAAAATTAAGACACAAGGAAAATAAACTGTAAATACCTTTCATTTAGGTGTATTTTATATTTATATATTAGGATGTTGTACTTTATTTACATACAGTTTCAAAAAAAAATAATTTAAGATGTAAAACAACTTCCATTACACATTTAAAAGTAAATCTCATCTAATAATAGCGAGTTGACAGATGTTTATTCTCACAAATAAATTGCATGCATTCAATTTTTTTATTAAAATAACTTTTAAAGAAGTGATCTTCCATTAACAAACTACATTGATAGAGGGTATCAATGGTATTTTAGACTAATGTGACTTAACAATTGGTAGCTTGGACTTCTTTTATGGACTTGAAATCCTGAAGTCAAGGTGGAGAAAAAAGTTATCAAACCACTTAAATGAATTTACTACAACTGGGACTTTATTTTTAAATCAATTTATGTAGCAATGTCAGTAAGATTTACACACAATATGAAGTTGGTGTAATTACCAACATAATTATTTCAACAGATGTCATCAAAACAATGTTTGCGATTGCAACCATGCATTTATTTGCAGCTCCTCTGATTTACTTTTTAAGAGTGCGCTGTCACTGACTTTTAATCATATCACACCGCATCCATCAGCAGGTGGAGTTTGCCAATTTGCCATTGAATCTACTTCAGCCTGCTAATGACTTCTTAAAATGTTCTTCTCGTCTTGACTTTGGAAACACTTATTGATGACATCTGGTCCCATAGGTGTCGTTAGCCCTGGGCATTCAGGGCTACCATCCCATATGGTTTATAAATAGCCCCAGATCTCTAAAAAGAAATCATAAAAACAAAAAATAAAATGACTTCAAATTTGTTTATCTGTCATCATCGCCGTTAGAAAAAGATAATGTCATGTATTAAAACCACAAGTTTCCTATGTTTTCAGTATGGACATGAGATGCAACAGTGCATTTGTGCTTTGCCTATTGTAATCCGATGTTGGTTAGTGTGTTCAAGCAATGTATAAAACAGATTGATAAATAATGTGTATATGATCTAATTTGTCAGATCGATAATTGAGAGAATTGGTTCGATTTTTGGGATACGGGATTAGAGAGGACAAGAACAGGAGGAGAGAGCAGATGAGATGAAGAGGGCAACAGACGAGACGCCAGAGTGTTACAGGAGAAGATCAGTTAGACTGACAAGACACACAGTTTGTCACATTTCAAGTTTGTCACAGTTGAAATGGAGCCATTGTCACACCAAAGAAGCAGAAGCTGTGAGACCAAAGTTGGGCAGTTTTCAGAACTGAATAAAGTACTGACAACATACAATTTAACATATGACTGATTCAGCAACGCAGTCATTTTTCAATATGATTATAATGCTTTTTTCAAAGGGTTTTATTCCTGCAGCTGATGATGATAAAACCTCTAACAATGATGAATGAAAAAAGAATCTGCACCTATTTCCTTATTTTTGATTTAATATTGTAAAAGCCAACCTTTGCACCTGACCGAAACTTTGCGGTAGAACACAATGTCTCACATGTGTTCACTTGCACTTAATCTACTCCAGATTAACGTGGAAACAGTGTAATTATTGTATGAATATTTCAAGATCCTGTAAGTGTCTCTGCGTGGTCCCTTTAGGACTGTTGTAAAGCTTTCAGTCATATCAAATGATCTAAGACACTGAATCATAAATCAAACTAAAAACAGAAATTTAAACTACTCGTCTAACTGCATCGTGTAATACGACAGAAAGGTCCAAAATAGCAACTAAAGGACCTTTGAAGTGAATTTCATTTGTTTCAGATCAATAATTAACTTTGAATCTCAGTATTTTTTCTCTTTTTTTGCCGTTTATACAGTATGTGCTCATTATTACTTTCTTAAGAGGTGTCTGAGTGCTTTGTGTTGTCTCGTCTTACAGTTCAATAAAGTGAGATACAAAATAAGACATAGAATAAAAATATATTCCGATTTCGACCCACAGAATACCACCATCACAACAATTTACTCTTTGAATGTAAGAGATGTGAATGCACTAACCGTCCAGCGCTCTCATGTCATCCGCAGACAGTTTGCACTATGGATGTGAAAGCCGCAGCTGCAGACATCCATTTGTCAGCAGAAGTGTAAGCATCACCTAATACCCCTTATGTCACAACTTTTCCACAACAACCAGAAAAACCAACACACACCAACACTTGAACCCTCTCAGGGGGACGTTTGGGTGTGATCCAGTTTGTGTGCAGAAAGGGAGAGGGATCATTTGGGGTGAGAAGCAGCTGAGACTTTTAATTTGAAAAGGGGAGACCCTGCAGCTAATGCGACTGCTCAGCAGGCCTCAACTTATTGCAGATAATCACAGGGGTTTGAGCTCGATCCTGTGTTGAGTACGAATATAATCTTGCGATCTTTTTCACTCCCTCTCACCTCAGAATACACACACGTGTAAAGAGCAGTCACACTATAACAACATTGCACTCTTCAGTTCAGCACATTTCCTGGTTGAACAGTGAAGCATTGATACTGTACTGACTCCAGTAAGGTTTGGCTCAGTTTTAGCCTCCTGAATGCTTTTATTAAGCACTGTGAATAAACTTACTGTAAAATGTAGGCCTGCGTATTAAATCTGCAGCACAATGTTTTTTCTTATTTTGACGGTTTTTGTTACATCGAACAGTCATTGTTATGTGTAGAGGCTAAATTGTCAGGATGCCAAATTTTCTGTTAGATATCTGGACAAAAATATGTGTCTTTTATATACCTGGAACAAATCAAGTCCTACCTGTGTACCATATTTCAGGACTGGCATATGTGATAATTAATACACAAAATAAATATATGTGCAAGAGGGAAATTTCAGCAACTTTGTAAGTATGTCTATTTATGAATCACTCACACTTACCAGCCGTATTCAATGATCCTTTTATGTTTAAAAGAAGTCAAAGCAGATTTTGCATCTAAAAAAAATAGCATTTTTTTCTATTTAACGTTCAGAATTTCCTTCTTTTTTGTTGTTTTTAAAGTTTTTTTAAATGGCTCAGTGGCAAAAAAAAAAGCAAACATATCCTTAGACCGAATCCAAAAACCTAACGGTGAGTTTAAAGGCATGTTATCTTTTAAACAAGATCAAAATGACACAGTTTATCTGGACGAGAAACTGTAATAATCATTAGCTCCATCAGGAAAAGCAACCTGATCTAAGCTTCAATTTGTGGCAATGCATCAAAATCAATTGAGTATTTTCAAATTTTAAAAATCACCAAAAACTGTTTCCATCAGATCCTGTAAAAAAAAAAAAACAAGGAAAAAGAAAAGAAAAGAAAAGAAAAGAAAAGGAAAGGAAAAAGGCATGGAAATAGTATGTATTATATTATCTTTTTTTGTTAATGTGTGCTCAAAGATGGGACTTTTCATGATGGCTGCATTTTTTTTATACTTCAAGTCACCCACATTCAGTACATTCTGAGTCAAAGGCTGAGAAATAACAGTGACAATTTCAGGCTTTTATCTTTAATAGTTTCTTAGACATTGTCATCCAAACAACCACAAATTTCAATGTGGGAAAAAATGTACTTAAAGTGGGCTGATGAGTAATTTCTTTTAAATTTAAAAAGTTTTTTGATGTATCAAGCTAAAATTTCACAAAAAATATGTGAAATATCCATAGCTTATGGAAAAAAAGACATTTCAACCAATTTAAAGATGGAAGGCCCCTGATGATTTAAGATTAAATAAACCCACCAAGAAATGATTTAAGATTCAGACGGTTAAGCTTTCATTCCCACCATGTCTGTCTTCTGTTTCCTTCAGAGTCCTGTCAGTCTGTCAGTGCTTCACTGTGGACCAACATGATTTGGAAATACATCAACTTAGATTCAAAATTTTATTAAGTGGGCAGTACACGAACTAATGCTTCTTACACATATGTTCTTTGGCTAATAAAACATAGAAGTCAGTGCACTGATATAACCAATGTTAAGTGCTCTTTAAGACAGATAAGCACACAGATGTTTGTCCAAGCAAATGTGTCTTTATTTACTTAGTAGGTGGTTACAACCCTATTGCTCTTCCTACTTGATTAATTTTAATCTTACATTCTGTTTTTAGAGTGACTGCAAGTCTCGTGACTACAAATGGAGTGTTACAAATTACATTTATCCTTCTTGAACAAACCAAAAACTAAACATTTTTTAAAAATATGTAAACTTTGGGATGTGCTGCCATTTGTCCATTAGAGGGCTTATAGTATTTTTGTTGCCTTTTAACACAGTCTCTTACAGTGCAGTGTATCCATGTATCAGAACAACAGATTAATCTGTGATAGAATAATAAAAGACTGAGGCAACAATTACCGAGAGACAAAATGATGTCTTTAAGTGATAATGAGGCATAACGAGGCAGCGGGTTTAATATAGTTTGTCAGTGTGATGCTGCAGGAGCTTCACTGAAAATTAAAACACATTATTTTCAAGACACACATTCAAATGCGCAATACACAAGTTGACATTAAGACACTAAGATATAAACAGATATAAACAATAAACATATAAGCATTCATGTGTATACGCCAACAACAAAAAAAGTAATAATCCAACACAAGACTGACGCCGGAAAGATGAATACGCATGACGCACACTTCAGAAACCACATCTTAGCCTTAACTTGTTTGTTTTTTCTCCAATCACAAAATAACATATTTTGGATAATTTCACTACATTTTAGCAGGAGTCCATTGTTAGTCATATTTAATGAGTTTTCTCAGAGTGTCTGCATATTTAACAGGACTTATTCAGGACTTTCATGTTGCCATACGTAGACGGTCTTTCGGGGTCCATTGGACTACAAGAAAGAATATGTGCAAAATACTTGTTGGTATTCATTATAGACTTTTATACTATGTTTAATACATTTTCTGATAAATTGACGTTTTTTTGGTTTCAAATGCATGACAAATGTCCCTCTTTTTACATTAAAAAAAAAAACACATCAAAAATAAAAATAAACCAATACCTGTCACCTAAACCAAGTGGCCTGGGGTCCAAAAGACCCCAAAAGTCCTGAATAAGGTTAATGGTGGTTTTAAGAGTTTTCAATAGGAGAGTCTTTTTACAATGTTGATTGCAGGACAAGAACATAGAAGAAGCTAATATCCCTCATGTCCAGTAGATCTGAACTTCTTTAAACGCAGTTTACATCTTGGTGAGAGGAGTATTAAACTCACCAGCACTTTCAGGACTCTATCAAATCACATTTAGTCACATTCAGTCTGGCGCTTCTCACATTATTCCATCAACACCTATTAAGTAAAAACACTAATACACAGTAAATGTCTACTTTTGAATCAACTGGATGAACACTGACGGTGAACACACAGGTAGCGGCGTTGTGGACCGAGGTGAGCTTCTGTGGAGCGACTGCACCAGGAGGTACAGAGGAAACTCAACAAGACACGACTGTAAATATGGTTTAACACGAAAAAACATCACAACGTGAAATACTTTTTAAGTAAATATATTTCTTATCCATATACTGTAGATAGACAACATGCTCAGCTTTGTTATTTACAGGAACGTGTTATATTTGAATTGGCACACAATAGCAGCGATCAGACTGGTGAAAGTTGCACTTTTGATTTGGTCTGTCACTGTGGTCTGAGTCTATGCAAGCAATAATTTACAATTACAGCAGGGATTAAGTGCAAAGGATAAAACATGCTAAAACTTAATAAAAACACAGTCACGCGCTCAGCAGTGGACGTTCTTCTTTAAATACTCATTCTGCATCTTTTTTTGTGCAAACGCCGGTGACCTGCAGCAGACTGGACCACGCAGAGAAACAGTTTCTCTACTTGAGGTGGAAGAAGCCGGAGGGTTTGGTCGGTGCAGCCATCAGCATGTTTGCTTGGTTCTTGTGAGTTATGTGGATCTAAAATAAATAAAAGGTAAATTTTGGGTTAATTACAATTGAACTGTTTATGAGTTAAAGTTCCTTCAAATGACACATATGTAAATGGTTATCAGTTTGTTTTTTAGTCAGACTAAACTCATGCAGCCTCCTCTAACAATTCTGCAAAAAATCCTACCTTCTGCATAAACGTACAGAATTTAGAGATAATTCTGATATTTAAGGTAATTTATTTCATTGAGGGAAGACTAAATAATAAAAAAAACACAGGCACTGGTTCTGTCAGCATGCCAATTTTTTTGAGTTTTTTGTTTTTTTAATTATTATTTTATTCATTTCTAATCAGAATTTTATTTATAATTCATGTTTTTTTATGCCATGATTTCATGGCAGTTTTTTTTTCTTTTTTAAATCTGTGAAATGCAGATAGTTGGAAGAGGGAGGCTCATTTGGCAGTTTGCCATTATTAATACAATTTAAAGTTTCCTTGAAGAAGACACTGAAAATATGTTGCTTTGGATACAAGGGACCATGGTAGAGCTGTAAGACCTTTTCTGATTTCACAGTAGGATGTCCCTCTCAGACCTATGAGCATGTGTCAAAGTGTGTCACGCAGTAAAGGTGGACTTTAGGACCGGAACACTTATTTTGCACAATGGCAGTTTAAGGGCGGGTCTGGAGCCGGTGCCTCATCTCAAACCAATTCTTTGCATTTTGGCAGCCAGATAACCAGTTCCTGGTGAGGAAAACAGGTTCCTCAATGACGCCAACGCTTTAGGCGGCTTTTCACTGAAGGAAGTGTGCAGGAACAGCCCTGTAATTTGATATATTCCGCCTTTATGTTTCCATTGCGATGTAGCAGCTCAGATAATAACATCAACTTTAAGTGAGGCAAAAAATGGCAAACACCAGTTATTAGTGGACAGTAGAGGCTATGGCCTATATGGCAAATTTTACGATGAAGATAGCGATGTTGGAGAGGACAAGACTGCTACTCAAGGTAGTCTCTGTCCCCCCCCTGAAAGAGGTTCTACAGGGCCATTCTTGTGGTTTGAAAACACACAACAGTTCCAGCTGCCATTAAACAGCCCACAAGTTCCTGCAGTGGAAAACAGTCTGAAACCAAGAACAGCTGACATCTGGGGAGGTGGGTGTGATTATCGTGACCAACAAGACCAAGTACAACTTTATGTGACTGCCATTTAAAAAAAAGCAGAGCCAATCTAAAGAAGAAGAAGAAGAAAAATATCCAGAGCTTATATCTGCATGTGTAAAGTCAATGTCAGTATTGTCTCATGTTTTTCTTGTCGTTCGATGTTTTAATGACACCAGTTGGCATTTATAAACGCTGGATGAAGGTGGCTTCAAGCAGCGCACATAAGTTTGCTTCTGTAGGGTCCTCGTCTACTGCACTGTGGCAGTAATGGGGCTCCATTCATAATTAAAATTCATGTATGAATGAGCTAAATACATTGCACTTTGGGTTAGTGTTACCACTTTTCTATCAATTTAATAGATAATGTGTGAGTCTTACAGTAGGTCAGCAACACTTACAGTACACGGAGGCTGCATCCAGGGCTCCCCATCAATCTGCATGGGCAGAGCTTTGCTTGTCCTGCACATAGAAAAAGAGCAACATTTAACTAAACTGCATCACACAAACTATCATGCCCACATGTGTGGAGGAATGAAACAACAAGAAAATTTGACTGCATAATAAAAACAACAGCCACAGATAGTCTTGTTTGGCTCTTAACTGCTGTGTTCCTACTGTGGTTACTTTAAATGCTGTTGTTTGTTTGCAGTGATTCTGTCTTGCATTGTCAGGTATTCCCGATTTTCCTGCAGGTAAAAGATCCCAACCTGATGGTAATCTGGGAGGTCTGTGCCAGTCTGTGTCCAGCGCTCTTCAGTCCAGTGTAGATCTGTCCCATCTCTATGACTCCTTCCAGCCCCACAACCTCCAAACGCTTGTCGCTCATATCTGAGCAGCAACGAAACACACACGCAGATCAAGTTCAGAGAGGTTGTAACAGATTACATTGGCATTACAAACAGCTAGACTGATGACACTTTCACACATGAAGGAGAGAACAGAACAACATGATCCAATCACCTTGTGAGATTGTTTTAAGGAATTCGGGGTCGGTGATGACTTCACTGTGCACCACTTCTGCCACACCATCAGGCTTCTTGGATTCGCCCCAGAGGTTGGATCCTCCGTGCATGCTGGGTATGTTGAGGACAGCTATTCCTTCTAGAGACATGTTGCTCATGTCCAGCTGTCTCCCGCAACACTGGTGTCACAAAAACAAAACCTGAGCATGAATAACAAGTTATCAGTTTTAGTGAAACAGCCCGATGACAGCAGTAGAAACTCTGACCTCAATCTTGAGACAGTCCTTCAGCTTCTTGCAGGAGGAAGAGATGGTCTCCGAGGTGGCAAATTCAAAATACCAAAGTTTGTTCTTCATTCTTGAGAGCAGCGGAGAGCAACATGAATTTGAACCTCAATTGTTAAACACACTCAGTTTTCATGGGACTGAAGTTCTTTTGCTCTTACAGTTAATGTGAGTCCTTACCTGCTGTTGAACCTCTGGGGGTGTTTCTCTCTCATGGAGTGGAAACGATGAGCAATCGAGGCATCCTGCTCACATGGACGCAGATATTTTAAGCAATATATTCATATTTCTGTGTTCAATCAATAATCGTGTGATGTTATTATTCCTCCCTGCCGGGTGTGTGACTCACCACTCCAACAGAGAAGTAGTTGTTAATGATCTCGTAGGGGACGGGGTCTCCCGCCTCCTGAGGGTCGTCTGGTATCACTTGGATGCTCCAGCGGTCCATTGGAATCACCTCGCTGGCCTCGATCTCCTTCAGGATTTCTCTCAAATCAGACCCCTCGTATCCTTTAGTGGGATTACAACAGAAAAAGCATCATTTATAACATATGGCGCCAACATCAGCAACTGAAACACGCTTTAAGAGTTAATGTTTCATTGTTTTACCTCCTCCCCACCGTAGGCAGCGAGCCAGGTCATTCCCAGTGCCCAGAGGCAGGACGGCTACAGGAGGATGCACCTGGAGATTCTCTTTGTCTGAAATCACAGGTATTGTGATGTGAAATTTAGTCTTTAAGATCTCAATCAGCTTTCTGAAACTTAGAAAGACGTGTAATACCTATTGCATCCAGGAGCCACCCCACTGTGCCGTCTCCTCCGCACACCAAGATCCTGTACTCGTGCAGGTTGCGGAAGAAGTGCAGTCTGAAAAAGAAAATCAGCATTAAAATACAGAATCTCAAATGACTTGAACATATAAACTGCAAATGTTAGAAGTGTACTGTACCCTGGAGCAGGACCACCATTAGACAAGTTGTACACTTGACGTGGATTCAGCAGGTACTGAAACTTTCTGTGCACTCTGCATACAAACACACAGGAGAGGGGAAAAAAAGCTTATTTTTATAGCATAAATATAATAAATGATTGTAATAAAGTGGTCATTGGTAATGTTCCAGCACATGTACTGAGAGATACAATGATCATAAATAAATCATCTTATTTGTGCAACTTAAGAGGAAAGAACATCCCCAAGATGGCAAATCCCTTTCAGACAGATTATTTTATAGCAACACTTCACATGAATCTGGTGCATTCGTCACATATTGCAAAGAAAGCCATGATGTTACCACTATACTGATAATCTATGCCAACATTCACTGTGTGCTGCTCACCGTTCACCTTGCTTGCCTCCACTTTTCGGGTTTACAAACACCAGCAGAGGATGGGTGTCTGGAATTGGAACAATCTAAAAAGATACAGAGACAAATTAAGATCTGTTAAATGATGCAACCTATCTAACTGACAGACACATGCTGCATTGTAAACACATATAATGATTTCCAGGCAGCATAATTCAAAGTTCTGCTTCTGCAGAAATAACCGTGATTTAAACGTGACTGCACCATGACACCGAAGACTGAGGTTTGTGTCCTATTTTACTTTGAAAATCAATGTTTTCTTTAATATTGAAGCAGAGGCCCTTTAACTTTTCATCAGCAGCAGCCACTGTGTTACACAATTTTACAGGATTTTGATAAAAACACAGAGTAACAGTAACATAAGTCAGTAACTTCCAAAGAGTCCAAAGACAATGAGGAAGGGGAGATTGTGAAATGATTTTTCTAAACAATTGTTATAAAAGCTACATAAACTTTTAATGTGTTGCTCCAGCATACCGTATGCTTACTTAGTACTACAGTTTGTGCATTGATATGTGTTTGGAGCGTGTTTGTGGCTGCACACAGCATTTGTGTACTTCAACAGCCTGGGGGATGGTGTTGGTCGTGAGTCTCTGGCACTGTGATTTTGAGGGTTAAGGGCTGAAAAGTTAGGGAGCTCCTGATATGAGTAAGGAAGAGGTCATTGATCAGATTCACTAGACACACTAACCATTTTTTTTTTTTTTTTTTAAAGTTATCAGAAAGAGTGCATCTGTAAACACCCCAACCAGCAGGTATTTTAACTTCTATGTCAATGATGCCACTTTGCATTTATTACCTTTGTGGGGTTTTTTTCCCGGACATTTACTGCATCATCTAGTGTGTATTTTTCTGATTTCTTAAATTCAATACTAATTTACATAAAAAACAACCATGTAATTAATCTGTAATTAATCAGTAATTAAACACGTAACTCTTTATGTAAAGGTTTTATTCCTGCGCCATCAATTTGCAATTTTAAGGTGAATCTTATTAGTTTTATATTTATGTGTATTTTTACATTCAAACGCTGTAATTCTTGATACAAATCATGCAATCTCTTTTAACTGAATCCAACATTAAGTATAGATCTTTAAGTGAAAAGTTGATGTTGAGAAGCACTGCTCTTGTGAAAAAGACATGTTTGGGGCATCTTACATTTCCACCTCACCAACAATGACCTCATAGCTGCTTAGAATTCTGCACTTCGTCCCTTATATGTTTACTTTAGATATTTATTGACAGCAGTGGAGTCAACAGAAGAGCAGAACAGGTTAGATCAGAGTAGACAGAAATAAAACTCTTGTTTTTGTAAACTTGGGTATCAAGCTGGGTTGCAGCAAAGAGAAAGGTAATTTTTAGCACAGAATTATTGTAATTTGGTGTCTCAATAAATTAAGTGTTTTGGAATCAATACTGTTTTGCAAACCTTTGTTCTGCAAACCTTTTTTTGTCTTCTAAAATAAGACTGTTTTTTAATCATCTTGAGCAGGCGCAGTACAATACAGGTACAATATAAATCTCTGTAAATGTATTGTTTTTACTCTAAATTTGAATATTTCATTTTAATTTTCCAGTTTTTGTTTGGCTTTCCAGTCATTTAACAGTTATTTTTAAAATATTTTTTTTACAGTGCAGTTTCTCTGCACAGCATCATCATCTTATCTTACATAACAGTGACAGATGTCTTTGCCCATTACTTCATCCAACACACTGAGCTGAACCAAACAGACTACAAAGACAATCGTAAGGCACTGAAAATCCCTCACAAAATAATACGATGATTCACTAAAACCAGAGGATCTCCCAAAAGCAACGAGATCCAGAAAGACAACTCGAAAGCGCCCGCACAGAGAAAAAAACACATGGGAGTACAGTTGGAAAAGAGAAATGTATGTAGGAAGGTTTGATAACCTGCAGGACGTGGCCATCGGGAGTGACGTTCAACAGGCTGGTGTCCTCCTCCTGCACGGCACAAAGACAAACACCCAATAAACAGAATGTAATCCTGAACATCTCCATCTGCCAGTCTCATTTATAGCCATTGTACCTTTGAGACGGCATAGATGGCCCATGGAGGCAGTATGTGATCTCTCAGTGGGCCACAATCGCAGGTCGACAAGCCAGAGTAGAGACACTCATCGTGACGCTACAAAGGAAGCAAGACTCTGTAAGGATCGAAAGAAGGAATCCACTCTTACTCATTCAGCTAAAGAACACCACCTCACCATCTCCTGGCACCACACGCAACGCCTCCCCGCTAAAGTTTTGATCTTCTTGTGGCAGACCTGACACTTGGTGGAGTTACAGTCAGCTCTGATCCAGTCATGAGCTGCTATCTGAGGCAGATAGAAAAGAAAGAGAAAAAAACAAGAGAGGTGTTATGCCACAGCTTATTCTGTGCTGCTCATGCAATACCGCAAACTTTACTGCTTGGTCCATTAGACATCATTGTTTTCACATATTGGGAGTCTCAGAATGTTTTGTTCGCTTGCTGCTGTGGTCAAAAACAATGACCCATCCCCAAACGACTGCAGGAAAAATGATGTTAAGAGAATTGGCACAGACCACACCCTTCCTCCAGAGCAGCAGTGGAAGTAATAGACGAGGCTTCGGATTTATGACTTTCTGGATAAACACTGACTTGGCACATGAGCATCCACCAGATCAAACATCCCTAAAGCGCCGCCCCCACCAGAGGAGGAAATTTGGGTAGCAGATTTTTGTGAATCAGTCAGTGGTGGTCATTACACTGAAACCAGAAAAAGACCGAGAGCAGATCATTGTCTATGCTTGGGCGAAATTAGGACGTTTAACAGATGTACCGAGCAGACTGCTGGCTGTAATCCGCACTTTAAAAAAAAAACAAATACACTGATGGGCTGCACTTACTGACTAATGCACTGTAATGTTCCCCCCTGTTGTTAATGCGTTTACTGCCTTTTGGTGTTTGCTCAGTAAAAAGTCTTTTAAAAGTAAGTGCTCCTGTAAATGTAAACCTGAGGCTAACGGGATCATTGTGCTCCTTACACCAATTTCCATTTTAGATTTGACGAAGGTTCGAGCGCAGGGTTCGGGGTTCTTGTTGGCACACTGGCTGTGGACGATGTACTTGCAGCCTGCGGGAAGAGAAACATAGTAGAAAAGGTGTAGCATTCTCTTTATATAATCTTAGAATAAATTGCAGTGACGCTGACAAACAGCAGACTGTAAAAAGGCTGATTTGCACGGTGTTCGGCTGCCCCCTGGTGACGGCCGCGAGCTCTTACAGGTGCACCAGAGTCCCTGCTTCCCGAGGCCCAGCAACATGCCCTGACACACACTGCAGTAGGTCGGCTTGTTGAAGTGCTTCATCCTCCAGATGTGCTGCCCGTCTTTCTCTGTCATCTGTGGGTAAAAGAAAACGGGTTAGTCACGCTGAAAACATCACAGAGAAGCTGAGTCCTTGAGCTGCTGAATGGAGTTGGTTCACTCAAGGCTACGGATAAAAGACAGGTTGTGGTAAAACTTGAAAATTTTCACCTTGAGTCCAAGCAGAACAAGTAAAGGCACATTGTTCATGCCTCCCTTCAGCCACTCCTCCAGAGTGACGGTCTCGCTGTCGTCCACGTCGATCGCCGTCATCATGTCCTTTAGCACCTGTTGCGTCACAAAATTATTCATCGTGTTATTCTGCTGAAGTGTATTTCCTTTTTACGTCTCTGAGCTCTAAGTTGTCGTACTTAGGCTCTCAGAAAAGCAAAATCATACAGGCTTTAAAAAAAACAAAAGGATGGAAAAGGAGGCCCATACTGGTCTGAGTTCAGTCACATCCCAGCCGAGGTAATCAGCAGCTCGCATCATCTGAGTGATTATACGATCCACCTCCTGAAGGAGAGACAGCAGGTGGAATAAGTGTGTGACCATCTCCATTTGTGTGCAAAAGTACCATCAGAAAGGTCAGATTAGCAATACACAGCACATCTCAAACAACAATGTAACACACAATTTAAAAAATTATGCATGCTGTGACATTATAAGGAACAAATGTGAGGACACTTTGTGAAACTATCTGCAGGATAAAAATGAGAGTGGAGTCTAAGTTTAAATATGAGGACTGTTTTCAGAAATGAGGACTTCTGTTTTGCATTTGCTGTATTTAACATGCATTGAGCTACAAAGACATACATAGTGAGCTACACATTTACTGTTAGTGGCATTTTCTGTGCTACTTGTTCACTTTTCAACATCTCATCTACAGGTAAAATATAATTAGACTAATTTTCAAGGCCCATAATAATCCGACCTTTAGGTTTCACTTATTTAAAACTAATAATGTGGATGAATACAAAAGCCTCCAAAATGTTTTGTGAATTTAGACACATCTTTAACATGTAGCAGCTTTAGAAACCTGTCAGACACTTAAAGCAACTTACAGAACTGTCCAGGAGTCCGTTGCAGTCTTTGTCGTACAGTCTGAATGTAACTAGAGCAAAACAAAGTCAAAAGAGTGAACCAAATGTTGTTTTGTTACTTGCTTAGATCTTCAGTATAAATCGCGTATCAGTGACAAAAATGCAGCTGCACTACAACAAACATGGCAGAAAATGTTCAAAAAGTAGAAGAAACCAACATTCGAGCTTCTCCCGCGGCTGTCCGTCCTCCAGCACAGAGAAGTAACAGGACACATCGCGAAGGAAGACCCCGCCTGAAAACGAAGAAACTCTTTTAAACAAACTAAAACCGTTTATTGCATAACTGAGATCTAAAACAACATGTATTGAGTTCCAGATTAAAATGTAGAACTGCTGTATGCAAGCAAATATTCTATTATAGTTTTGTTATTGGAACAGGTGCACTAATCTCCAAAGCTACAGCCTCATTCCTGTGACGCACCACTACAAGATAAAAAAAAAACAAAAAACAGACAAGCAGGTGGGCGTAGAACAAACTGTCTTTGTAGCATCATTCTGTCTTTGATTATTTTCAGGAAGTTCAGTGGGGCTTTTCCAACCACACTTCTCCTCCAAACACCCCTACTCTTAGCTAAAAGAAGATCAGGCGTTCCAAACACGGTACCTCCTTTGGGTAGTGGGCTCTTTGTGGAACCGTCTTGCTCTACGTGTTGAAAATAGCGAAAAAGGCGTTGGCAGAAATCTGCAGGGAAGTCGTCCACTTCTAGATAGGTCTTGAGAAAGAGGCAGAAGCCCACGGCGTCGACACACTGAGGAGAGACGTAAGGTCAAAGCAAGCATGTGTAAATGTTATATTTATAGAAGCATTATGTTTTAATGGGACAATAGAGAATTTCCGAAAACATTTAATAGGTCTCCTAGAAAGAACAATGTAATTTGCAGCTAATGACAGCATTTATCTCATTCAATTCATCAATTTAACACCGAATTTTATTTAAATTTTCTAATTAAAATGTCTTATAAATTTATCACATTAATAGATAATAATAATGTATGATTTGTAAGGTGTAATAAGAACTATTATCATCTTTTTTACTTGAATAGCACCAAATAAAGTAGATGTTTTTTAGGAAATTTTATGCAAAATTTATTAGAAGAAATGGAAAATTACAGCCTTGAAAAATAAAACGTTGCCAAATGTACAGTCGTCCTCAAATGTATTCATACCCTCCCATTACAGAAGGAAAAAAAACAGCTGTCACTGAAATGGGTTGAAATTGACAAAAGTAATAATGAATAAAAATGTAATGAAAACCATGACATTGCTTTTGAATTGTGGTTCAACAGAAATATTTAACAAAAAAAGAAAAAAACAAGCATGATTGGGCCCGTAACCTAATATTTTGTTGAACAACCTTTTGAATCAATCACTGCAGTCAAGTGTTTTCTGTAACTCTCAATCAGACTACTACACCCGTTGACAGGTATTTTGATTTTGGCCCACTGCTCATTAGCAAAGTGCTCTAATTTGTCCAGGACAGTTTTGTTTGTTTGTTTGTTTGTTTTAAATGATTATTTTCAACCACAATTCAAAAGCAATGTCTCATTTCACTAAAGTATAATTTAGCAATTTTTTTATTTATTAATACTTTTTTTAGTTTCTAGTTGTTTGAGTGACTATTGTGAATTTTGCCTTTTCTTTAATGGAAGGGTATGGATAAATTTGAGAACTACTGTATAGCTGTCTGTATAAGAGCTGAGGTACCTCTCCAACGCTGTGCTGAGCCAGCCGACCTCCTGCATGAAAGTCCTTAATCACATCTTTCACCCTCAAACTGCTGTCTGCAGGGGGAACATTAGAAAGCTCAAATAGTGAGTGAAATCATGAGTCAAAAAGAACACAACAAAGTTATTAAATTTAATGCAATTAAGCCAATAACTGACTAAAAAACACTACAGTGACTGATTCCATCCTGCTGCTGGTTTCACACATTAGCTGTATTAGCTACGTGGCTCCTGTGCGCTAAAACAGCAATTAAATGTGAGCTCATCGCTAATTGTGGACGTGCCGGACGGATGTTGTGCATTAAATGTGGGTCTGGACCCTGCAGTCAGAGGTCACACACAGCGATGTCTCTCCCAGAATGGAGTAATTATCTACTCATCCATTATCCAGCATGCAAACACCCTCCCTCCCCGGCGCTAAAAGCCTAAAGAGCCATTTCATTTCTTTCAAAGCCTTTGAGTGGAGGGTCGAATATTTTTAGCTCTTTTTGTTTCCTGTCGGTGCATCTATATTATTCTCCATTAGCTCTGGATCCAGCACAGCAGTGTACGTTTCAGAGGTGTGGGGTTTTTTTGTACAAACACAGAGAAGATCCTCCAGAGAAACATTTTGAAGTGTTTTTTTCCTGTACTTAGTGTGCATTCGCTTTTATTTAATGATATGCATTTCAAGTTTTAGAGTAGCTGGAAGCACATTGAAGTAAGTAATCAGGCAAGTTCAGGAAAAGTTTGCACGCTCAACTTTTTTTTTTGGTGCACAAGTGCTTCAGTGCTGCAGCTGTAAACTAAAAACTGATCAACTCCAGTGATTAAAGAGTCATCTGAGGGATCTGGCCGTGTGCACAGTTCCTGCTTGAACTAGACTTTGACTGTACTTACTCTCACCTTGCTTCTTATCTTGGTTTTTATTTCTCCACCTTCATAAATCGCTCTGGGAACTCTCAAATATTTACTCTGTTAAAACTACAATGTGATATTCCAATGACGACAAAGTAGCACACAACAGCGTGAACACACTCAGTGACACAAAAGTGCTCTGCATGCAAAATCTTACTCATATTGAAGTGTAGATGTTCGGTCCCTTGTTTTGATATATTAGCAGCATATTTAAGAACTATTGTTACTGATGCATTAACATGAATGTAACATTTAACTGCTGTGGCTGCTCAAGCTGGACCAAAATGTAACTGCATTAAGTGTAACTGGATGGTTTAATCTGCTGCACTGTGCCATATTTTAAGAGCGGATTTGATGTTTTGTACTCTCCATAAAGTAACCAGTAACTACTGCAGTGTAAGACAAGCACATTAAAATACACATAAATGTAAAATTATATCAAAACACACCTTCAGTTGGTGGATTTATGAGTTGAACTGATGTGCATCCGTTAAAGTGACAACTTACATTCCATGTACTGCTGCAGCTGGATGAAATCCACGGGCGTCAGGGAGCCTTCTGCATCATCAGACGAGGCCATGCCAATCAGCTGCACACAAAACGAAAAAAATAAAAAATAAAAACACATGACACAATGACAGGGCGGTCACAGAAACAAGGAGGCAGGATTTCTTACAATAGGTCATCTTGCCTGTGACTCACATAAACCAGTTAGCCCACATTTCAAGTATTGCACACACGATGAAACACACCTCTGCTCATAGACAGCGATCAACCACAGTGTCTGGTATTTATTCAGTAGAGTAACTGAGGACTCCCAGGAATCATCAGTGGAAACTTGACCTACTGTAACTTTAATTTAGTTGATATCACACAGAGAAGTGTCCTCACCTTTAGGGTCAAAGGTTAGCAACAACATCTGGAGAGCAGATGAGCTCCATAGGAACAGGTAGCAAAAGCAACAGTTGCACACTTTAAGAGAAAAGAGTTTTTAACAGCAGCCAATAGATATATTGACTGTGCAGGTGAATGTGTCCAACTAAACCCTCTTTGTAAAATCCCATCAGCTTAATCAGCAACGCATGAGCACAAATCAACAATGAAGAGCAGCCTTTTGAAAGGAACATCCATCAGACAGGATTATAACATGAAGCCAGTGGATTGACTGACAGAGACAGACTTTTTCCTTCCTCTCGGTGCTGTTGCTGCTGTTTAAGTGCTGCTCAGGTGTTCACACATGAAGAGGACTGACGCTCCTTACCTGGACTCTGTCTCTCCGTCTCTCTGGGCGCAGCAGGAGTCGATAAAAAAGCGAGAACACGGAGCTCCGCCGCCTGGCTTCGGTCACATACGTCGGTTACCGGCAGATGGTACTTGTGGGCAAATGTGTGCTGCGGTATTAGCGGATATAAAGGATTAAGAAGGGCGGAGGAGGAGCTTTGGACACATAATTACTGTTAGTGGTGGGACCGCCTCGCGCGTGCGCGCACACACATGCACGCGGGCACACACACATACCAGTTTGATGAATCCAACAAAGTTAACACATTTTCTAAATGAAGCCTAGAAACAACAACGGCATTCAGGCTTTGGGAGAATAAAGTATGTCACAAAATTGAGAATATTTCTGCAAATATTTTATTCTGTCTTTTCATGAGACAACAGTGAAGAAATGACACTTTGCTACAATGTAAAGTAGTCCATGTACAGCTTGTATAACAGTGTACATTTACTGTCCCCTCAAATAACTCAATACACAGCCATTAATGTCTAAACAACTGGAAACAAAAGTGAGAACATAAGTGAAAATGTCCGAGTTGGGCCCAATTAGCAGTTTTCCCTCCCCGGTGTCATGAGACCCGTTAGTTTTGTGACATACTGTATGTGGAGCCAAATCACAAATTATGTCATCTCAGGAACTTTTTGCAACATCTTTTAAGAGAAGTGCTCCAATGATTTCCTTTAAGCATGGTTTCAGGGGGGGGAATCCAGTAGAACCAGGTTCAGAGAGGGCATCCATCTGCCTCGACCAGCTAGGGTGAGGGAGAAACAGGACAGCAGTGAGAAATAGGCAAAAAAACAAATGCATAAGAGAACACTACATGCTGGTGAGGTTGGGGAGAACAGTAACTGCAGAGATAAAAAAGATACCTGCAGCAATGAGAAAGCATAACCTATAGGAGCTAGAACACAAAAAGTCATTAATATGCACAAGCATATAAATGTTGAGTGAACTACCACGAGAATTAACTGAGAAGCAACAGAAAGACAGCATGCCCTGACCTCACTTGGACTGAATTATGGTAGATTCTGAAGACATTTAGACTGTATGTGGCTGTCAGGAAAAGAAAAAATAATGAAGCTGTGGAAGGCAGAAGTTGTTGTCCTTTGTCCAAGCTAATACATCTCTGAGGGATTGTGTTTGCTGAGGCCAAAAACTGACCAGAACACAAATGTCAGTGTATTTGAAAATAAATGGTTTTTAAGTACAGTAAGTCTGCTTGTGTTGTGTTGTCTTGTGTTGCAGAGATATAAGTGGATGTTTTGTCAGACAGATGCTTGCACAACATTGCCTGAAAGCAGTGAGCACTGATATAACGATAATAATACATATAATAATATGACCTTATTTATTATGTGGTATGACTTGTTGTTTTCTGCTGACACAAGTTTTCACTAAGATTTCTCAACATCAAGCAGATAAATTCCCACAAAATTTGATGCAGGTATTAACTGTTTAAAGCCAACAAATCTTGATGATCAACCGTCAAATTACTGGTGCCACGATGAGTAATATTTAACAGCGATTGGAAGTATTGCTGTTAAATTAGATTCAAGCATTCATGTCTCCCTCACGATGAATTACATGAGCCAGTTTTTGACTTTAATGCAATCATCAAGTCAACCAGTTACGCTCTGTGAAGCTGTTGAAATTTGGGAGGTGAGATCATTGTTTGCTCTGTGAGCTTCAGCTACCTGTGGTGGTTAACCACAATCACTCTTATCCTCACAGAAGCATAATTCCAGTATTTCCACTTCTCAGAAAGTCGTTGAAACAAGCATCATATACAGACAATGCAAGAAACAGATCCTTTCCTTGACTCACTTTTGAAAAATATGGGATTAGCGAGTGAAAGGAATAGAAACCGCTGTATTACACTGATAGAAGATATGTCAAAATCTTTAAACAATGTAGTTTATATAGCAAATGAATATTTCTCCTTTCTGTGACCGTATTTAAATTGTGTGTGCAAAATAATGGATCACATTTTTTTAAGCATCATAGAAGCATTAAAGTAGGCTAAGGTCCAAAAAGCACTCTCAAAAAAGGAGATAAGATATGTTAATGTGGTGTCAATTAACTGAAGATGCAATAGGACCAGCTGAAAGGTCTTAAGTTTTATGTTGATGCAGTAATACTCCAGTCTGCCATTCAATAACTAATTATAGGTGCAATACACAGACAGGCCAAGATAATCACCTTTTAAAGCCACTTTATTGCTCACCAGAGACAGACTGAAGACAGGTTGAATCAATTTAAGTTTAAAACACATCAGTACAACAGAGGAGCGATGAGTAGACAGCTCATTCTCTAAAACAAAGGGCAAACATTTACATATCCACAGTGCAAAATAGTATTTGCATTTATTGTTCATACCTATGAACACATTGTTCTTTCCAAAAGCATATGTGAAACATTATATTGCACAGCTAGTTAGTCGACTGACGTTACAACACTGGGCCAAACAGTATTTGATGTACAACACACTTTGTCAACTCACAGATAGAAAAGCTACACAATCATACTGTAACAGTCAGGTGCCCATTTTGTAAAGTGTGTGAATATCTGTCACTGTCACTAGGTGCTGAAACTTTTCAAATATATCCCTTATGAATGAAATCAAATCATTCCGATGCATTAATGATATTGATGCACGATATTAAACTTTCTGGCCGATACCGATATCCAATATTAAGATTTCTGATATTGCTGATAAAACAATATTAAAAATGTTGATGTTCAATTTTTGTTCACACCGAAAAATTAGTTTAAGTAAGCACTGTGAGAAAGTAAAAACTATTCAGAAGAAGCCCATACCAAAGTAGACCACATAATCTTCTTTATAATGTAACAAAAGTCAAACATATTTAGACATATTTAACATTCAAGTCCAGGACCATTTAAATAAAAACATCTGTGAAATAGCTGCAATATCAAATGTTAGACAATCATCGGTTTTTAACATCAGCTAAATTTGTTCATCACACTGATATCTGATGGGAAAAAGCCCTAATATCAGCCGATACCAATGTGGTCGCCGATAAATTGTGCATCCCTAATTAACAACATTTCAGGCACAGAGTAGGGACTGCAGTCAATTTATGGCAGGTGGATGTTACTTATTATCTAAGAGTAACTTGCCAGCATTACTTTTTACTGCTCTATTCCAGCTTTATTTTAGCTTCCTTATTTTATTTCAGTAATGTATCAGACTTATATTATATTTCTTTCTACTTGAAGGCACTGCAGTTTTTATGTTGTGTGATTGTTGTTTTCCTGAGCAAGAATTTTCTTAAGGATTAATCATTTTTTATCTTACATGAGTCAAACTGGTTCTTTCAAACTGTTTCAGTCACACAGAGCAGATGGAATAACACAGAGGCAAATGATTAATTGCAAAAGAGATCATTTTTTATGGCTGTTGGACCGAGATAAAAGCAGCAGTAGACTTACATAAACTGAGCGATACAGCTTTAAATATCACTTTTTGGCACCACACCCTGATTTGAGTTGTATTTATCTATCTGCATGTTCTGTGTGCGGCGGCAGGCGGCGATGATCACTGCAGTCACAGCTGACAGCGCATTTAATGATCCGTAGAAGAAGAAGTCGTTACGCAGATGTTTACGTTCTCCTACTTCCGTAGCTGCCTGGAGCGGAATAACGTTACCAATCTGACTTTAAATCCAAAAAAACGGCAAGAAACTCTCGGTCATGTCTCTTATTTTCAGTTTAAGTGTGAGAGATGCTTATGAGATGGACATAAATCAGGTGGTTTGCTGTCCACTGTAGGCGCTGTATCGCGAGTTTTTCCTCGTCATTCATCGCAGGCAAAGCTAAAGCTAGCGGTGTGTTAGCAGCGCGTCCACGGCGCAGTGGGCATAGTTTAATAAATCATCGCCTGATCCGCACTTTGTCCAGTGTTAATTTAGATATCAAGCAAGGCAGTCATGGCCACTAGGCGTCTGACCGATGCCTTCTTGTTAATGCGGAACAATGCGATCCAAAACCGGCAGATATTGGCTGAGCAAGTGAGTACATACGACCCCCGTCTGAGTACACGTAGCAATGCTGCGGTGAGTGGTCTGCATCGTTTTGACATTTTACTGTGTGTGTTTGCATATAGCCAGTCACTAAGCCCTGCTAGCTAGTTTCATCTGTGTAGTAGTAGCTGCTAGTTAGTATTCAGGACCGTTTCTACGACCTCTGTGGCCCGTAGTTTCACCTCACGACTGATTTGATGTGGCTCAGTGAGGTGATGGAGGAGGAGGAGGACTGTGCAGGCATATTTTTCGGCTCTCATCAGCTAAATGCTCACAGTAAACCATAGGAGTAAGACTTGTTAAATATTAGCCAGCACAATATAATATTAAGATAATATTAATGCTTTTGTAAGTTATGTAAAATTAATGCATGCTTTTACCGTCCAAATGTGCTCCTCTCTAGTATTAGTCGTGCTGTGACCTTTGATCTAATCTGGATCAAAGTGTGCCTGTGATCTGTCATTGACTTAGAAGGAAGATGATTTTTTTTCTGCACATAGATACACATGTGACACAAACTAAGACAAGAAAAGTGCTCTGTAAGGTTGCTGAAAACAACCAACACTAATCCTAGATTTAAGTTGCATTCTCTAGTGGAGCCGTAAAGAAAAGCAAATACATTCATTATAAGTTTTCTGGTGAAACATCTAGTTTCCTCAATATAAACCGCTCACATTTACTTTACCCGCACTAATAAAATTATGATGCATCCTTCTGATGTTGAATTCTGTTAGAATAAATACTGATCCAGTTGCTCCCTTTTTCCAAAATAGTGACTTCAATTCATTCATTGAGATAATTTTTTATTTATTTTATTTTTTAAAGGACTGCCAGAGCTAGTGGTGGAAAAAATATTGAGATCTTTAAGTTTAGTAAAAGTACCAGGGCAGTAATCCATTACTCCATTACTGGTAAAAGTGCTACATGAAAACTTCTTCCCCCACTCTTCTCCCCACATTTCTCTGTCTCTCTACACTGTCCTGTCAAAAAAAAGGCGAAAAGCCCCATAAAGTAATCTTCAAAAAAAAAAGTAAAACTATTGGTTTGGTCCTTCTGACCAAAATACTTTTATACATGTCACCATTCAGTTATTTACATAATCATAAGTGTTCTAAGCAGTAGGGTTAAATAATTAATCAATTCAAATTGTGATGGGAAGCAATGCAATTAGCAAATGTCGCAATTTGAAATATACATTACTGACACAATGGCTGACCCGGGGTTTAAACTGTTTTCTTGTGTGGTATGTGGTAAAACACCATCACACATTTTAAATCTGTTACACAGTGATTATTGAACAGAATTCTTTTTAAAAGTGCATCCCAAATTGAATTGCAGTCATCGAATATTGATATTTCCTTTAAGTTGTTCAAATGTTTGATTTGTTTTGGGAGGCGTTAGGGCATTTAAAGATTTACTGAAATAAAACCACGTGAGAAGTTTACAGGGGAAAAAAATCTACATTTGTTAAAGCTGTTAACAACTCATAGACATCTAAAATATGAAACTGACTACACACTGTGTTTTGTAAAATGCTAGAAGCCATAAAGGTTGGAAACCACTGGTTTAATCCTAAAAACTTGTTATATTATCTGTTTTGTGATTTTATTTTTTAATCTTAAAAGTAACTAATGTTGTTAAATAAAGTGGAGCAGAAAGTATATTAAATTCCCCCTGAAATGTAGCAGAGTGGAGGAACTAAGCATGAAATGGAAATACTCAATGTATAGTACAAGTATTTCAAAACTGTACTTAAGGACAGTAAATGCACTTTGTTGTTTTCCACCTCTGGCTAAGACACTAAAAAGTTGAGTTGATGGCATCTTTGATTGACATTGATGAATACTGTGACTAATGTTAATTAGTGATCCAGCAGATGAGATCAGTTCAAAGAGATTACATTGTTCATTATAAACATTTCATTATTCTGACATTTAAAAAAATAATAATGCTTCACCCCCTATATGAAAATCCAGGTGTAATGTTCTTGCACATTTAAACTCCATTGCACAGCTTCTTCTTGTTTCTCTCATTTCTAAGCAGGTAGAGTCAGGCAGGTGTAGCCTACATGTGACTATTCACACTCCGCTGTGAACACTTTAACTACTTACCTGCTCGCTGAGGTAGATTAATTTCTTCCAGCGTGGACGCCCAGAGACAATGAACATATTAGCTGCACAGCTTCCATGCTGTGCTTCTGTAAATAAAATCCGCAGCAACAAAACAGTTTGTTCTTGTTCCGAGTACAGAGAAAAGTGGACTTGGAAAGGCTAATTGCATTGACACTGATGATTTTAACCCACAGGCTGATGCACAGGAGTGGAGACCTTTAAATAATTGTGGCTCCTGGACTGAAGCTGTGTATTAGTGCATCTCTCTGTAACACACAGTGTAGAGAAGCGTGTTGGGTTTTACATCAGGAGCATCAGTAAGTACGCTCAGAATAACAGAACCCAGTAATGATGCTGTGGCCTCAGAGCACAGAGTATTTTATAAAAGGTGATTCATGCCCAGTAGTGCAGATGAATTGCTCATACGCCGTCAGTTATTTCTTCTACCGAGAGTCAAAAAAAGACATTCACCCCTTCACTAATCAGTCAGTCCTCTGCATTTTTTTTGTTTTTTTTTTTATACAAAACAACAACAGGACAAGGATCTCCACTGATCCTGTTACAGATTAATCGAAATTCTGTATTTGCAGACGGTCTCCTGTGACCAGAGAAGCTCCTTACTAAGATCTGCTCACACTCAGTAAATCTGTCCCTCCTGTCCTCCTTACTGGATGTTGACTGCTCCAATCATTTTATTTATGTGTGATGAAAATTTAAATGTCAAAAAGTTTCTTGGGAAAATCACATGTACAGTCTGCTACCTTTCTTGTCTTGCAGCACCTGTGTTCAGTGTCTGTTTGTCTGTTGTCATTGTATTAGGCTTCATCCCAATGTCCACCAGAAATAATGTAGATTACTAGGTGATAAAATTCTAACTGTGAATTCTAAATTAATTGTGTCTGTATTTTTAGAGCAGGGTAAGTTATTGAATACTACAATTAATAAATAATGATCAATACCAGAAATATCCTGCTCATGTTAAACTGTCTTAAAATGTCCTTTTTTCCCCCCATTTAAGTCTCAAACCATTTCTGCTTTCTCTTTCTTCTCACAGTTTCTCACATGTAATGATTTGATTTCTGAACTGAAATTATTTTGTTGCAAGTTGCTGGATGATTTATTTTTTGCGTCCACGTTAATTTTACACTTGTGCATGGCTGCTACATTAATAGCTACAGCCAGACCTTCTGCTTTACAGTAATTCTTACTATCTCTAATTGAAGCAAAGGACAAAAAAAAACATATTTGGTATTTTCTTATTTTTTATTTTGTTTGCCTCACTTTCTGTTACTTCTGTCTTTCTCTCCTTTTCCTTATCCTCTGTTGGATGGAACCACTCTGCTCTCTGCCAATCACATTAGGAGCTTGACGAGGTACTGTAGTAGTTTCCCTTCGTGGTAGAATAACTGTAGAATCACAAAATAGTACACTGTCATCGGCACGCTGTCGAATTATCATGCAAAACGTTTTAATAGAATCGCTTGTGTTTTGAAGTTGGCTGATGACCGAATGGCCCTGGTGTCTGGGATCAGTCTGGATCCGGAAGCTGCCATCGGAGTCACCAAGAAACTGCCTCCCAAATGGGTAGAGGGGGTTGATGAGGTAAAAGCAAAGCTGGAGTATGGTTGCGCAATCAGTGTTCATTTGTAGTAATGTCATTTTTGGTAGAGCCGATGTACAAAATATAGGCTTTCTGTGATTTTTAACTGTTGATCATCGCTTTTCAGATCCAGTATGAGATCACACGTGTTCGGCAGAAGATGAAGGAACTGGCCTTACTTCATGACAAGCACATGAACCGTCCAACGCTGGATGACAGTAGTGAAGAAGAACACGCCATAGAAATCACTACTCAAGAGATCACACAGGTGCAGTAATTTACCATCGCTGCGATATGAAGTGCCTTGCCATTCAGCGTAGGCGATCATTTCTCTCCATCTAATCCGATCTTTTGCTTTCTGAATTGTGACTGTTGCCCGTTCCATGTGTAGCCATGATGTCAGTCCGTCTATCGTTTTCATTCTCTGCCTGCTTCGTCCTCTCTTCCCATTCATTTTTCCAGTTGTGACAATATATTCCAGGGTCTCTTTCCTTATGATGTGTCCAAAAAATGCTGCTTGCCGTTTCCTGCTGCGATATACGTTATGCTAATTTTTAGAGATTAAACGATGACACTTTTCTCTACTGAAACATTAACTGGAATTTCTTTTGGCTTTTTATGACAGCATAATCTTGTACTGATTCTCCTGTGAAGCAGTTTATCAGACAGCAGTGAAACAGATGGTTCTTTTGTGCCAGCTCATCATTTTCGCGGTTCATTGCAGATGTTTCATCGATGCCAGCGAGCTGTGACGGGTTTGCAGGCCCGCTGTGGCCACTGCACCGAGCAGGAGGAGAGACTCTTGAGAAACGTGGTCTCGTCTCTGGCACAGAGCCTGCAGGATCTCTCCATCAATTTTAGGCACACGCAGTCCGGCTACCTAAAACGTAAGAGCTGCACCAAAGCTGGTCTTCATAAGTTACCGTTGTGTCTCACATGTTTGTGTTACTGTCAAGTTTATGTTTTGCATCATTTTATCTTCGTGTTAATGGCATCTTGTCATGGGTTTATCTACCAGGTATGAAGAATCGTGAGGAAAGATCGAAGCACTTTTTTGACTCAGGGCCCTTAATGGAAGAAGATGAAGATTTAGCTCTATATGATAAGGTGAGCGGTGTTTTCATAGATGAATCCACTGAGAGGTGCACTACATTTTTTCCACAGTTACCCAGTCTACATAGTACACGAAAAGCAAAAGTATCACATGCTATCATGACCTTTTTATTTGTATTTTACCTGGCAAATCATCAAAAATGAATTCTTATTTACAATGGCAGCAAATAACAAAGCCTCCTGAGGACACAGGGTGATGCCTTGAAGCAAATGCCAAATGTTAAAAGACAAAAGCACACAACTGAAAACATTTCAACACACCCACTACTTGCATAGAATCATAACGTGAACAACAGTCAATACACGACTGATATGCAAACTAAAACACAGCTAACTGCACCAATGTGTTAGAAAAACAAGAGCAACATGCACAAGTAGTGAGACAAACAGGAAAATCACAATGATGAAAACAGCAGCATCACGAGAAAAACAATACAAGAAATGCAGGTTTTGCTTCTTTTTACTAACCATTAAAAGTCAGGAAATGGCCTTGTTGTGTGAAATGAACACATGGTGGGATAAAAGCAAAAAAAATAAAAATCTTTTGCAAACATCAAGAGCAAGAGGATGGCTTTTAGCTTGTACAAGACAGTGGCACTGTAATGTTAATGTGACTTACTATTGTAGGAATTCAGTCCCAAATGTGTTGATGTGGTTGAAAACCATTCTATTAGTGCTGTCAAAATGATGCTCAATTATATCAGAGAGGTTTGAACCATTACAATATCTATTTTTTTTTATGATGTTTTTCTTAAGAATTTGTTTATTCAGTCAAATTGTATGTATTTGTTGACTGCTGTACTTGCATTTGTGCATGTACCACAGTGAAGATATTTTATTAGCATTAAGGGCAACAGTGTCATGCAGATTGACATGCATTTACCATAAAGCGTTAAATTTGGATTTTTTAAATCCTCCGTCTTTCAGGGCTTCACAGACGACCAGTTGATGCTGGTGGAGCAGAACACAGTCATGGTTGAAGAACGAGAGCGGGAGATCCGACAAATAGTGCAGTCCATCTCAGACCTGAACGAGATTTTCCGGGACTTGGCTGGAATGGTGGTGGAGCAGGTATTTGAAACAAACGCACAACTAAATAACTAAATCTATTTGTGGCATGAATCCAATGAATAGCAAGAAAACTAATTCCTACTCACAACATATAGACAGGGGGTCATCAGGGAGTTGTCTGAATTGTTTCCAAAATGTAAATTATCCCGACCTGTCCAGGGTGTCTCCTGCCTTCGCCCTAAGTCAGCTGGGATAGACTCCAGCGACCCTCATGAGGATTAAGTGGTGTATAGATAATGGATGGATGGATGGATGTAAATTATCCTGTGTAATTTGCATTTTTGGAAGCTGTTCAGCTGGTAAACACCAACATCTGTGATTGAATTGATTTTATTTCACTAATACAATTCTGTGCTCTTCTTCCCTTAAGGGCACCGTTCTTGATAGAATCGACTTCAACGTGGAGCAGGCTTGTGTTAAAACAGAAGATGGATTGAAACAGTTACAAAAGGTAAACATGATAAGCTCATGTCTACATGAAAGTTTAACTAACAGTTTAACATCTGAAGGGTTTTTCTACCACGAGTGGGTTAGCTGCGGCGTCTGTGCACAGCTGCGATTGTTCTGCTTTTCCACCACATAGAAAGATAAAGTAGTCAACTTTAAACCACTGATGAAACTCTGCTGACTCTGTGATTAACAAACTTTCTAACAATAAAAGCATCCTGAATGTCCACCGATGGAAAACTTGCCGTGTGAAGCAGTAACGACATGAAAAGTTCCGTTTACATCAGTAGGAGCTTAATACGGCTCTGATTTGACTGTAAACTGTTGATAAGCAGTAAAACAGATACAAACAGGAACACTGGAGTGAAAGCTGAACAAGCCAGAGATTCAGTCCTGAGAGACGTCAGAAACACAAATTTTTCTTCAGTGTTCAGCACAGTTTGGGTACCAAAGGAGGTACAGGTGTGTTTGGACAGCCCTGTGCAGAAATGCTGTCACCTGCTGTGAGACTGCAGTGAGAACACGTGTTGTCACAGTTTGGCACAGCTAAAGCAGGTCAGCCTGGGCCAGTGGAACAACTGGTTACGTGATTGTCACCATTTTTTACCACACATGCACAGCACCACAGAAGAAAGTCAACTTTTAAAAGTATAAAAACACAAATATGTTATGATTTAATATATGTTGTTGTTCTTTTTCTTCTTCCTCTATTAATAATGAGTTCTTTGCCTTTACTCATTAAATTGAAATCAAGTACAGTGTTTGACACAGATTTCATTCTCTTTGCAGGCAGAACAGTACCAGAAGAAAAACCGAAAGATGCTGGTCATTTTGATCCTCTTTGTCATAGTCATTGTTCTAATTATTATTCTTTTTGGAACAAAGTTTTAATTATGCATTCCTCTGGCTTTTGTTTTCTGTCTGAGTGTTTGTTGTGCATCTGTGTGGACTTGGACTCGATTCTACTCTAAAGAAATGTGACTGCCTTTCATACCAACCAGGAAACGTCAAGAAGTATTCCACGTCTATGCGGGCGCACTTTGGGCTTCACGGAGATGTTTTTTGGTTGATTTTAATGAAAGAAACAATCGACAGCTTGTTCGAGCTGTGGCTATTTTATCAAATGACTGCCAAGACGGCGACAGACGTCTGTCGACCCAAACGTGCAGACATATGTGTCTTAACAAAAGAAAACACTTTGTGGTGTATGAAAACGGACTACTAATGTTAAGTTGCTTATGCAGAGCCTTCTTAAAGCACGAATCATGATGTTGTGCAAAGACACATCATTCCTGTCGAATATCATCATACTTCTTTAGCTTGTCAGGGGGAGATTGGACAAGAATGAATGTTTTGGGGGGAAAACATGCAGTAGGTCCAATTTTACTGCTAATTCATTTTCATCTCTATTACACTTACGTCCTGGCTCAGTATTTTACCTTGAAAGACTAAAGGAGAATGTTTTGTATTAGGGCAGTCCCAGATAAAATTAGAATAGCCATTCAGTACCAAATATATTCCTTTGGTTTAAGGACCAGCTGTTTTTTTTTGTTTTTTTTTACACCATACTTTAATATTGAGGTCCTGTTAGCCCACTGTTGGCCTGAGGAGGGTGCACACAGCCGTGCTTCCTCCAATTCATCCTGTAATTTTAAAACCATACCATGTCACACTGGCTGCACTTTTTATGAAGTGCTCATTTTATAAAACACTTGTTTTTGTTTTCCATGGTCCTTGCATAAAGTGCTACCTTTTTTAAACTCTTGCAGTTTGCACATATTGAGGCCTGAGAGGGAGGGGGTTGTGTTATGGATGTAATACTACTGTCATCTGTATGATAAGAAGAATTATTTATTTTCTAATAACTACAAATAATCCAGAGGTGTTCTGTGTCTGGCAGATGTGCTGTATATTGAGTAGAGTGTATGTGTAGCCTGAACCCAGCAGTTATTGTCCACTCCACTGAGGAAACTGTGATGTAGTCCAACACGAGCAGACATCTGAAGACAGCATTATGATTCTTTCTTTTGTTTCTGATCGGACGCATTACATTTCTTTTGGCTGTGTTGGATTTTCTTTACATGTTCTTGTGTTCTATAAAGACTGATAAGCTGAAATGATGAAGAGCTTTATTCAACATATCTGTAATCGACTCCACACTTTATACACCTGTCAAATCATCTTTGTCATTGATGTGAAGTTGTGTGTGAAAAAAAAAGGTTATGTCCTAGTGGTACTTCACTTAAATATTGTTTTCCAAACAAAGGAGGATGAGAATGAGGAGACAGCAACCTTTTTTGTTTTTTTTTTAATAAACCTGGAACATAATGGTGTTTTGTGTGTTTTTTCAAGTACAGCGTTGCAACAGTGCATCAAATGGTCCAATCAAACAATCAGTGACACTTGACAGTTAAACATTAAAAACATAGACTGTGACAGTTCTGACACATCAGAGAATATTGAAATTTAACAATTTAATTCATCATTGAAGTAATTTTTCAAGCAAAAACACTAAATATATAACAGTTCTTTTTTATTAGATGTGAGGGTTTGCTACGTTTTTGACTGAAAGGAAGAAAATATTGTTTTCCCCACCAATAAGTGATTGTCAGATACAACCTACTCATGGGAGAATAATAATGAGAAATGATAGACTGTTATGTTGTCTCAGACCAGAAATTGATGCCCAGTTAGTGGTTGCTACATACAGATAATCACATTTTTAGTGTAAGTATTAACATCTCTCTATATGTCCATCCAATACTTTAGCGAAATAACTTAATCTCTGATTTGCCATGTTCTCATATTAGCAATTTGTGATGTACAAGGTGAAGTGATTACAGCAGTACATAAAAGAAGTACAACCCTGTGTGATATCACCTTACTGTCAAATGATTTAGAAATTGCATTATCTGCACAACTTACATTACTCAGATTCATATCTTCATTTTTCAGTGACCTTTCCTGGTGATAACAGACTCAGTCCATCCTTGGTATTGAGAATATTCGCGCAGTCAGGCAGCATTCATGGCGTGGTCATTGTTATCACTCTTTTCCTTCATATAAACTCTTGCATGTGCTTCTGATCATTATCATGTTGGAACAGTTCTCCTCTGCCGAACTTCTGCAGACTGGGAGACATCTTTTGTGACAGTATTTTGGTATATTCAAAGACATTTATGGTGCCATCTGTAAATGTCATCTCCTCAACACATGTTGCACTCATGCATCCCTGTATCATCACACTGCACCTCGTGCTTCACTGTCAGGACTCCTTACTCACTGTGGTAGTCCTGACCAGGTTCACAACATGATGAACCTCAACTAAACCTAACAAAGTTCTCATCTGATTAAATAATTTGCTCCAAATATGCATCAGGCTTCTTTTCATGTTCTCAAGCAAAGTTTCCTTCTCCAGTTTTGCGCCAAAGAGTAAATAGAGACATGATGCAGACACACAGATGGAGGTCATAGGTTTTAAAACTGAAACTGATCTGGAGTTCACAGGTCATTTACAAACAAGTTCATGCAGTTAGGCTGATTGAAAATCACCGATGTACTCAGTTTTATTTGAACGATCACAGGCTTTCTAACTTGTGTGTCAGTGATAACAGGTGTATTCACTTTATTACACTGAGTTTGTTTTCTGTATTTCCAAAATAGTCCTCAATAAGTACTTGATTTGATTGCTTATAAGAGAAAAGACTCCACCGTCAACTTATAATGCAGGTGTTGACTGGAGATATAATTTGGAATAATTTGCCCAGAGGTGTAATTACTTTTGTTATTTACTGTAGCTCTCAGCAACTCAATAACTGCAATAATATCTAATAATAAAGTTTATTTAAACAGCACTTATCCAAACCAGCAATAGTTTAAAATGTGATGATATACACGACTAGCTCTTTTTGAAAATTAGGTATAGAGTATTTGGTAAACTATCTAATTAAATAGCAACTGTGTTAAATTTCAGACTCATGTAATCCTACAGTCACGTGACCAAACACAGTTTCTGCTAATAAAGTCTCATTTGCAGGAGGCTGACTTCAAACCTATTGTCCACACTAAATATGAGCTGAAACCTGATCCCAGTCTCCCTCTGCTAACTCAGCCGACTAGCTAGATAACCTACAGCCGCTTAAACAGCCACAAAACACTGAAAAACTCCATTCAAAGAGAAGCTGAGCTAATTCGCCTTTTCCCCACTTTTCTCATTCCTCAGCGACCTTGTGACGTTTCCCATTTAACTTCATACAGATTAAGCGGCTAACACTGAGCTAATGCTAACGATGTTTGACCTGGAAGACGACCGACAGTTGGCAGCAGCCTGAACCACAGAGTCCGGGTTTCCTCCTCCACCGACAGCCATGACTTGTGTGGCGGATGAAGACGACCCGTTCCCCGCAGATGACGGGCTGTTCTCGGACACGTTTTCCCAGGAGTCCGTGTACAGTCTGCTGGGTGAGGAGCTCAGCATACGGCAGGTGTTCGGCGCTAACCTCGGCGTGGCTGCTCCGGTCTGGGAAGCTGTAAGAGCCTGTAGTTTTGTGGACGCTGTTGGGAAAAAATTAAAGCAGCGAAGTAAAGTTTTGTGTGTGTGTGTGTGTGTGTGTGTGTGTGTGTGTGTGAACAGGCTCTACATCTGTGCCGGTACTTCGGGGAGCAGTCGGTGCAGCTGGCCGGGAAACGCGTCATCGAGCTGGGAGCAGGCACCGGGGTGGTCGGCATCCTGGCAGCTCGGCTCGGTGGGTCTGGGTTGGTTTTGTGTTTCTGATGTTAAATGGCATTGTAAGATCTTAAAGTTCTCTGTAGATGTGGTTCAGCTGGAGCCTGCACATGCTCCTCCACACCACGTTGTCAGTCAGTCAGTCATGGTGTCTGTATAGGAGGAGGACCTGCTGACATTACAGCAGGTCATGGGGGGTCAGAAGTTAGGATTCTTCATTTTTACTGTTGTCTCTGCAGTGTACAGGCATCAAAACTATGCAATAACAAAAATGGGAACATGCAGTGAACCAAAAAGTATTATTCAAACCAAGATAAGGCTTTATACTGGTTTGTCTTGCAGCTTTGCACACTGTTGACTATAGACTGTATGTGTGTTTGCAGCATATGTATTAGTCACATCTTAACCAGTTTCATTAAGAAGTCACCTGGCATGGTTTTTATATAACTCAAGTCACCATTATATCTCATATACTTGGCACTTTTAAAACAACAAGTGAGAAAATACACTTGCATTGTGAATTGAACAAGCAAGTTTAAACATTAGGGTTAAAACCCCACTGTATATTTACCTCTTAAGACCCCAGCTTCTGTTTGATATGCATTTTTTATTTTTCTTTATAGAAAATACAAAAAATAAAGAAAAATTTAAAAATATATTTTAAAAAAATAAATAACAATAATAAAATAGTAATAATAATAAAATAATAAAAGTACCAAAAATGTCATATCACATTAAAGAAGAAGAATAGATGCCCCTCTATTTATTATTAGATTTTCATATCCTTTTCTTCCAGGTGCAGAGGTGACCCTTACAGACCTTCCTCTGGCTCTTTCACAGCTTGAAGTGAATGTCTCTGCTAACATGCCCTCCAGCGGTTGGCCTTCCTCCCCTCCCTCTGTCCTTCCTTTGTCCTGGGGTGAGGACCACATGAACTTTCCCTCTGACTGGGATCTGGTGCTTTGTGCAGATATAATTTACCTCCCAGAGACTTACCCTCTACTCGTGGAGACACTCACTCATTTATGCAAAAACGGAGCCTCGGTTTATCTGTCATCCAAAATGCGAAAAGAGCACGAGACTCCCAGTTTCTATGAGGAGCATCTACCAAGTAGATTTAATGTGGAGCTTGTGCACCGTGATGACAAACAAAACAACAACATCTACAAGGCGTCTCTGAGGACAGATCAGTGACTGCAGGAACAAACTGCTACAGATCTGGGACTGTACTGAGACCAGTTATAGTTCTGGATCCTTGGGTGTGTGTTTTGTTTTGTTTTTTTTAAAGTGAATGCATTCTGGAAAATGCACAGCCATAAGACACACATTTATTTATATATTTATTTATTTTTATGTTGGTCATTATCAACCACTTAAGAATCTGTTGCTCCTGTGAATTTCTCACTTGTTTTAACTGAGATTGTGTTTCTACAATAAACATCTTAACGTGACTACAAGTGAACAAAATGAAATGCATCATTTGTCTTGAATTTATTAATTTAAGTAGTCTGCTTTAGAATTATCTGCAAAATGTGTTTAGGATGGGCTTTAAGAGATTTGATCAAACTTTTTTTTTTTTTAAATTTAAAAAGCATCCAAAATCAGATTTTTTATGGAACTGATGAGATCCATTGACCTTTTTCTGTTCATTTTAAACCCAGTTTATAATAAGTTACCAAAATATAACAAGTACAAGCTGACGGTTTGGTTTTTTATATAGTAAATCAGCCTTATGTTTTGTTAAAGATCTGACTCCACTTTAGTGGCTCTTCCTTTTAGAAGAGTCTGACACACAGCCTACAGTTTGAGAAGAGCTTGACAAGATGATCTGTTTCTTCAGCTGTACTTCGCAGGTCATTCATTAAAATCTCATACATCAGTTTCATGTTTCTGAATATCTTCTCAGTAAAAACAGCCTGTCTATTGATACAGTTTGCTTTCTGCATAGATATTAGAAAGAGGTCTGAGCTGCTGCAACTTCAGACGAGGCAGCAAAACTCACAATATCACAACTGTAAAGACCCTGAAAACTAATTTTCTCAATCAGTTGCTTACTATTAGTGACTGAGTGCATATGAGCTATATCTAAGCTCTTTAATGGTTACAACATGTTCAAGATTATTAGCTTTTGTTGCCAGTAAACTGTTGATCAAATTTCATTAAAGCACACCCACACTGTCCTGATGAGGCAGATTTATTTTAGTGTGAAACTTTTAAGTGCTGTAAGGACATTTTCTTCACACTTTAGATAGACAGACAGACAGACAGACAGACAGACAGACAGACAGACAGACAGACTGACTGATAGATAGAAATTCAAGCACCAGCAACTTATAAACACAGACAATACACACAGAATATACAGAAACAAGTAGGTAGAAAGATATTAATAACTGCAGAAATAAGGTGCAAATCCGTACTATTGGTTATATTTCATGTGATTGTAAAATATTTCAAACTGGGTTTTCAGGAGCTTTAAGTCAGGTTCATGCCAGCACTCCCTGGTGATGGGGTGTATCACTCACAAATACTGTCATCATCTTTTTTATATTCTAGCAGGGTCAAACCTCAGAGAGGAGCAAAACTGATTCACTTTTTAGGTAATCCATTTGTTGTTATCTGTGTCCTACTGTAACTGTGATTGTTACAACTGTCTTGAATTTAACTACAAAGCTGTCAACATTCAGCAGCCAACAGTAAATACATATTCAAGGAGCCAAATACCCTTTCAAGAATAGAAGGACTTCAGTGCAATATTGTTTTTAGCGAGTTATATAAAACCCCAAAACAAAATTCAGCCCATCCCAAGCTATTCTGTCAACACCAACAGACTGCCGTCCCTGCAGCCGGCTGTGTGTACGTACTTCATCCCCTCTCTCCTGCACACTGCTGATGTACAGACTTTCTGTTCAGAAAAGGAAAGCCTGTTTGTTACGCTGGAGAGTTTCAAAGAAAGGGAGACGACCCAGCCGCTGCCCGTCACTCCCTCTGCTACAATTCAGCCGACAAAACAACAGATCCCTATCTCCATGCACAGTCTGCTCGCCATCACGCCCTGTGCCTCCCACGCGACTGTCGTGCAAAGTGATTATCACCAGTTTGGTTGATGTGCATTACTGTGTGGGCAAAATTGTACCAGGAAGCGTGGATATATAGACTGCAAGAAAACACTCAAGTTACATCCAGGACATGAAGTAGTTTTACTGCAAATCTCAGTGCTATATAAGCAGGGATTTACCTTTTTTATTATCTGCATCATAATAGCTACAAGGTTACAGTTAATCCCATTGTCGTCATGTCAAAAACGAGTCTACAACATTTGTCTTAAGATTCAGAAGCAAAAGCATGACAGTAGCTTTTATCTTCTTGTTCCATTTGACTGGGCATGCCCGAGTTGCATCTTGTGTGATTTTCGTATGGATGAGATCACATTTCCAAAACAAATACTTCAAAACTTCCTAAGTGGTTTTTGAACTGAGCGTATTGGCTGGATGAAAGGAGGATGGGCAGGGAGGTTTGTGTGTGAGTGGTGGACGAGTGGGAGGGGGACTGAAAATCACTGTCCTCTTAAAACAACTTGTCCTGTTTGGACTTCATTAGACCTCATGTCACCTCATGAGCAACAAGGACAAGAATCTAAAAACAGCAGCTGAAGGTATGTGAACGTGTGTTTATGATAATATCTATCACAGTTAAGTGCCATATTCCTGGGAAAACTCTTGAAAAACTTGCTTGTAGTTGGCAAATATATGCCAGAGTGCATTATAATAATATTAACTCTCTAAGACTGTTTTTAGTTTCTTTATTTAATTCTATTTAAGAGATCAATTTTTTTCTATGCTTCAGATCTGTGTATGACACCAAATGATGGAGTTCTGGCCTGAGAATCAGGGGCAATCACATCTATACTCCAGATTTGGTACAGTTCCTGGGAGAAACTGTACACACAAGTGAGTTGAGTGTGATGAGAACAGTTTCAGTCATGATAATTAAAGTGTTGTCTGCCATTTTTCAATGCTTAATCCGCATAGTTGCACTTAATTTGCACACTTTAGTGTTGATAATCATCTGCCGAGTGACAAAAGTCCCTCTAAAAAATGTTCTGAATAACTTTAGAAATTGGTCCACATTGCTGTGAATATTCGTCCACAGATGCAGTAAAGTATTAAGAGTAGCACCAGTGAAAATATGTAATCCTGTTTGAATTTGCTCACACATTTTTTCCACCGCTTTACTCCCAGCTACCACGACAGACACCAGGCAGCCCATTATCCGTTGTACTATGGTGAGCCGCAGGATCACGGCAGAGACTCTAGTTACTGGACTGTACCGGGATCCAGAACAGGAGGAGCTCTGCACGAGTACAGCAGCTGGACGGATCCAGAGCTGACCGGCTCTTCCTCTTCTTCTTCCCACTTCCCTTTCATTCTGGACCGCCACACTCAGCACCACCAGGACCTGGGAGACTATCAGCCTCATGAAGCCAGAGACAGAGAGTGGACGACGGCTCAGCGGGCCACGAGGGACTACGAGAGGGGATTTCTGAGGGAGGGGTGGCAGAGGAGGTGGGAGCCCTGCAGCCCCATCCGCTACAAGAGAGAAGTTTCTGCTAAGAGGAGCGACAGCAGCTACCGAGAGCTGGAGGCCTGGGCGGCTCGGTACAGTCATTCACTGCCAAGGAAGAGATGCATAGAGGCAGAGTTGAGGGGAACCTCCCAGGGGCTGGTGGGGAGCAGCAGGGCTCTGGACAAGGACAGCAGGAGCGGGACAGATCCTCAGGTGGCAGCGCTGCAACATGTCCGACAGTCTGCAAACATCAGAGAACCGGGACTGTGGGATAGAGCGGGCAGACAGCAAGTTCCAAACTATTATCCATTACAAACTCCTGCCCCTGACACAAGTCACATGCTGGACACGAAGGAAAACAATACCAGCTACCAAAGGAGGATGTTCAGCCAACCTCCTGGCTATATTGCTCCTCCTCCCTACAACAGCCCACATAAAAGCTCACCGGTGATGCATCACTGTAGCTGGGAGCAGGACGGTAAGAGACAAACCTACTGGTCACAGCCCACGCTCAGAAAGCAGGACGTTGATTTGCAAGATAAGAGGAAGGGAGAGAAAGAAGAATATACAGAGGCAGATGAAAGTAAAACCTGCACAGAGCTTGAAGGATTAAAGCATCAAAGACAGGAGGCAGATGCTTTCCAGTCAGACAGTCCCATCAATGCACAGAACACACAGTGTGAAGGCATGTCACCTGTGCAACACCCACAACAAGTTCAGAATTCCAAAATAGTCAAGGAAACATCTTCACAAGTCATTGAAGGAAGGAAGTTCAGATTAAACAAAAAGACAGGTGGGATGACCATATTCTGCCTGGTGTCTCGAATAGCCGCTGCCACCGAAAGTCCGTCTTTGCCATCTTTCACCTCTGAAACAAACATTCAAAGCACAAAAACAGCAGATGTTTCTGAAACCGCAAGAGATGCCAGCGGAGCGGACAAGCTGCCAGACGAGGTGGACTTCAGAGCATCAGCAGTCACAGGGCAGCCCAGTGCTTCTGATCAAAAAGAGACGCCAACCTGCTCAAGAAAGGAGATGTTTGGAGATGATCTACTAAACAAAGCTGCGGTGGATGATGTCGATTCTGCATGTGGGAGACAAGTGGGTCAGTCAGAGCAGCCTGTGTCGGTCAAATATCCTTTGTGGAGGGAACCGAGTTTCAGCAGCAGGGCGGAGAGTTCATCCACGGGTTGTTTGAAAGCAAACAGTGAGGAAGAAGAAGCAGATGGTGTACAAAACCAACTCGATCGCGCTAATGTGAGTAGCCACCCGATAGATATTGAAGTCAGGAGGCTGGACATCAAGGAGGACACAGGGGACAATGAGGGTCTACTGGTTATAGACACAACCTGTGTGGTCGTCAAAATGGAGCTGATTCCGTCTCCCAAGAAAGAGCACGTTCACTATTTGGACTCCACAGCGTATGATGAAGACAGTCCGTCTAATATTCAGACAGTTGTCTCCAATGAAGTAAACTGTCAGATAAATCAAGACATGACAACTGAACACAAGGCACAAGCAGACCCCACGGAAACGGAGGAAAGTTCTGACACTGATTTAGAGTCAAGACTTTTGAATAAAGAGGAACTTAAGGGAGAAAGTGAAATCTCTTTAGACTACATGCTGTCATCTCCTGTTTCTGAGCGGGAAACCTTGGAGGAGCGTGCTGAAAGAATTCTAGGAATCCCTCTACACGACTGCTTCACCGAGCCGCTACCTGAAGATGCAGCACCGTTATCTGATTCATGTGCTGAGGAGCAGAATGACGAGGCTGAACCTTCTCCGATGACAGAGGACATTCATGATGCAAATAAACAAACTCCAGAGGGCACAACAGAGGAGGAGGGACAGTCACAGAATCCTTTAGAGGTCGTCCAAACTGAGGATGTGGTGCTTTTGACGGAGAGTGACGACACAACACATCAGGTGAATGAAAGCGATGACGAGTTTGCAGGATCTCAAGAGAAAGTGTCAGATATGTCTGAAGAGAAGGACACTGACTCCCAATTTGAAAAAGACGTTGAAACTTCAACCGAATCTGAGACTCCTTTGCTTGAATCTGTTAGTCAAGAAGGTACAAGCGAACAGGGTCAGGAGGAAAATCTGACTCTTGTTGATGATCAGGCCTCTCAGCTTTGTGACTTCTCCAATTCTTCTTGCGATCTTACGTCTCCTTCAGATAACTCGGAGTCACAGACAGATGACCGTTCTGATTCTGCATTTAATACAGCTGCAAACCTCGCTCCTCATCCTGAAACATCACCCCTTCCTCCTTCACCTTTGCACCGGCTGCCATCCCCAAGCTCCTCTCTGCATACAGACCATTCCCCAAGCCCTCCTCTTCATTTAACAGATAAAACTGATGAAGCAAAATCCACCGCTGAGGATGAAGAGGGTGAAACGTCACATCTAACTGAACATGAGGTCAACACCGAGTCCCTCGCAACAGACACAACAGAGGAGGTGTTGTCTCAGCAGCAGCATGAACCGGACGATACTGCTTGCATCACTGATGAGCAAATGGAACAAAAACTTGAAACATCAGAAGAAAAGACTGTAAAAGATGACATTTTGCAGCAACGACTTGAATGTGTCCAAGTGCAGGGTGTTGCTTGTGTAAATGAGAGTAATATGATTGAAGAACAGCCACCAAAAGAAGTCAGTGAGGATCCTGCCAATCCTCTTTCAGTGCAGACATCTGAAATACATGAAGAAAATGTGAGTCAAACAGAACTTTTGGAGCAGCAGTCTGATTATGGCCAAGAGGAGGATGCTTCTTTAAAAAACCCTGATGAGGTTCCTGCAGGTCTTTGGGAAAAGACAATAAGTAAGAATGACGCTACAGAGTCGCAAATGGAAGTGAAAACGTCACAGGACACTGAACCATCAGCTTCAGACTGTGAGGTGTTACCTCTGGATGAGCTCTCACTCCCTGAGCTTCCTTCTCCTCTACAAGCATCACCTGAGTCAGACACACAGTTTGTTTCTATTTCGGACTCGGTTTGTCCTTCATCTCTAGGTCCTGAAGATGCTGCTGCTGACATCCAACAAACTGCCTCTCTTCCTCTTCATCTTCAGCTTTCCTCTCTCTCTGATTCACCCCCAGCACTGCCTCCCAGCACTACCCCTGATATCCCCACAGCTGCTGTCCACAAAGAAGAGCCCCAGTATCCAAAGTCCCTGTGGGATGTGGTGAATCGCATCAGGAAGCACACAGCGCCCGACTCCGAGAACGAAGAGGAGGAAGTGAGCGAGCTGTGGGATCCAGAGAATGCAGGCGAGGACTTTGGTTGCCCGGATGAGGAGGTGGTCTTTGCCGAAGCAGAGCATCAGGAGGTTGAGGTGATGGATCACAAAGAGCCGAGTGGACACGTCGATGAAGACACTCTGTCCTGCAGCAGCACCAGCAGCCATGGCTCTGGAGACACTGTGATTGGAGCAGATGAGGACGAGGTCGAGGAAATGATGCTTGATGATGAGGAGTTTAACGCAGCTGAGGAGGAAATTTGCTGCTCTGGTGAAGTAAAAGATGAAACCGTAGCCGAGGGAGAACATGAGGAAGACACAATTAAGTCTCTTTCAGTGGAGGTGGAGAATAAAATGGAAAGAGCAGAAATTATGGAAACTGAAGGCCTTTGAACTCAATGTGGTCTCAGATGAGGTCAGGGGTTGAGACTATACAGCTGTGAAATAACTGCATGTGAATCTGCAAATCAACTAAATAAAAAATGACTGACAGTATGTTGAAATAAACATTTAACAACTAGTTAAATCTGTGCTGTCCTCGATAAGAAATAGAAGTAATTTCCTCTGTAAGGTATTGTGGTAGACACTTTCACAAACACTAATGTATTTTTTAGTTTCAGTGTAGTTTTAGAGCTTTTATTTTGGTGGCTGACAAATGAAAACAGCTGTTATGTAGGTAGAAATGTAAGAATTTTACATCAACATAATTTAAAATATCTAAATCAGCTCTATTTATGTTACAGAAGTATCCCTGTAAAGCAGATTTTGTCACATGTTTTCTTCAAATGCTTGTTGCTATTTCTAAAGAGTAGAGTATTTGGCGCAGCTGTGAGATTATGGAAATAGATGGAATTAAAGAATTTATTATTTGGTGTGATTTCAGGGTGTGGTGATGTTTCTGGCAAAAATCGAGTCATTGGTGTGTATTGGATGTAAATAAACACTGGAGTGTATTACCATACAAAAAAAAAAGTAGTTCTGTCCTTGTAGACTTCTCTTCTCGTTGCAGCAGCATTTCATCTCCTGTTGCTTCCAAAGTCAAGAATTGTTTTTGAAAATAAAGTGTTGAAATTGTAAAAAGTTTACATTTTTATGACATGATTGTTTCCCTGGTCAAAACGGATCATTTAAGGTTTAAAAACACAGCTTTTTGGTGATACTGGTATCAACATTAAGGAAAGCTATTTTCCACAACTTCCTGACTATTCCTTTTATCTAAAGGTCTTATATTTTCAGTATATTTTCTTTTATGTTAACACTCCATTGCTCTAAATTTGACCTAATTAAAACACTACACTGTAGCTCTCCTTTAAAAATACTAAAAATGAACATTTGTTTTAAAATGTTCCATCAAAAGTTTTATTTTGATGGAAATGTTCAGTCATCTATGTAAAAAATGTTAATAATTGTGTAAATATGTTGCATAATAATCAAAATTATGAGTCTTCTACCTGATTTTTGCTTTATTTTTATTTATTTTTTTACAATAAAGCATATAAATATAGGCATCATTATAGATACAGATTTGCTTTAATAGAGGTGAAACGTCTTGCCTACACAATTCATTTCAATACTTTTTTTTTTTTTTTAAAGAAAATCATAGATGGATATAAAATATTAACGATAAGTCTCAAAATTCCTTAGTAAAGTATGTAAGCTCATTGTCAACTATTATTATCCGTCACCTAAGTCTGGTAGTAGGTGAAAAACATCAGCATTTACTAGTATAAAATGTTTTAGAGACACCAAGTGATGATATAAATGATTTATGACTAATTGTATTTTAGAAATGACCAGCTTAAGTCATGTTGATGTTGTACAAATATATTTCCATTGATTGAAGACAAAACAGATTCAGAAAACATACAAAAATTTTTTTATAAAAAAAAGAAATTTCAGGAGAACGCTCACATGACAGTAAATTCTTTTTTTTTTCACATAAATGATACCAAAAATACTCTTTGACCTTTCTACATGGACAGTACAGCATTAGGACCAATGCACCAAGCGGGTGCATCACAGTGCCTGTTGTCGACTACGGCACACTCTTGTGGGGTCACAACATAGTACAGTTAAATTACACTATCAGTAACACCAAACTTTAATATAACCTTGATGCTCATATTTAAATCAACTCTGTAATTATCATAATGCAAAGGGACTGCAGCTGGTTTCTGTAGTGTTTACTCAAAAGGCCAAAAAAGCAAATACGTGAAACTTTGTGTAATTTTGGCTCAGTAATACTTCTGGCTATTTTTCTGTGGGATTCAGACATAACTAGTTTCCAAAAATCTATTCTGTTTGCCACATTTCATCCTAACTCTAGTTCAAAACGTTTTACTGATCTGATTTCACTTCAAGATAAGAACAAAATATAACTGGACCATAAACAAAATACCTAGGAGTGTTTTTAAGTAGAAGCTTCAAAGTTGTAATTCAAAATTCCTCATGAACAGGTAAACTGCTTTCTTAGTATTTAGAGATTTAACGTAACATAAAAGGCGCCAGCAGCCCAAAACATGGCAAAGGATACGTCTTTTTTTGTTTACAAGTGTCAGCTAATCTTTAGTTAGCACTTACTCTGGTGGAAAGGGTTTGGTAAGTTCTAAAACAAGTTAAGACAATTCACATATTGATGAATTAAACGGACCAATAATTCTATATGTTGTAAATCTGGGAGCTGCTGATGTTGTGTTTGAGTCGTGTGAAACTACCTGGAAAACACGAAGTGTCGAAGGCACATGTTATCATTTGTACTACAGGCAAGCCTATAATGTTATATATTTGTGATTTTACACAATGTACTTTTCTTTAAGATTTCAATTTACTTTAACAGAACTGGCATCAGTTAATGCTGTGGTTGTGGACGGTTCAATAAATACTGATGAGCATTAAAAACTTTCTTCTAAAGCTAGAGCTGAAAGCTAAAACTAAGTGCTGATAGCAGAAAGTTTTTTCTTAGTCAATTAATTGTGAATAAGAGAAAACTTTCTGCTATCAGCACTTAGTTTTTGGACAGAGTTTTTCATTGTGCATGAATACGAGCTGAAGAACCACTTGACCAAATTCAACCTGATCTCAATGAAGCCTGTAAGAAACACAGCATCTAACTTCATTTTTGCAGTTTCACAGTTTCAGTTTTAAGCACAATTGAAGGGAAGACAAGCACCTTCACGAGAGAGACTATGGTGTAATAACTTACAGTACACAAACAAGTGACCAAATAATACGACTAGATGAGGCTAGAAAAAGTGGTCCATATGTTCTCCATGATCATTTTCAGGTAGATTTTCTGTCGTTTTTTTTTTACATAATGATTTGTATACATCTTGTAGCACAGCCCTGGTATAAACAAGTGAAAACAGTAGAGCACTCAGCACCTCAGGAGAGACGGCAGCTGTGGCGAGACAACATCAAAGTTCATCGTGGGGCATTTTCAGAGCGTGATCGCAGAGGTCTGCAGAGGACACAAACGATTAGCGCATTACTGCAGTGGGATGACACAACAGCAATGTGCATATTTAAGTCTCGGTCAAACTTACCTGTCCTCTTACTGCAGAGTTTGTCTTTAACATTATCCGTTTCGTGAGCGAAGAATTCAATGATTTCATCTTCATTCTGTTCAACAATTGTTTCGCACTAAAGAAATAGGTCAAAATAAATAATTACAAGCTGCACAATTAAATCTACAAGTCACATAATCTGGCAAAGTAAGGCCAATAAAAACACAAGATGTCATTTTAAGGTTATTCTTTGGAACTTCTTCTACTCACTGCAAACTTTAAGGTGGCTGTAACTCTCGAGTCCAGCGAGGCCTCTGACAGGTCCATGGCTTCGCCGCTCCGAGACTTGATCCTAACGTAAGACTTTCTGTTTGTGGAGGAATCTATGCGCTCACCGTAGTCCTCCATCCTCTCACAAACGCTCTCCATCAGGTCCAGGAGGTTTCCCTCGGAGCGAGCCAGAGGAACCTGAGGGCAGCAAAGGGCATGAAAAACTCAGATTTAAAGAAGACTTTAAGGTTTTTCTCCATGTCAGCCCACTAAAGTTAAAAATTACAACTACAAATGATCTTTTACTAAAGTGAGATCTTGTTAATTGGATATAGATCCCTTTGATTCAATTACTTGTGTATCTGTTCTTTGGTGATAAATTATTTAATCTTGTTTATGTTGTTTCTCTTCATTATTCACCTAATTTGACATTTCTATTATTGTACTGTACTTTGTAACCTTGTGTTCAAAGCTGCTACAAAAATAAAAGCTATTATTAGTGAAACATCTTACAACTGCAACTGTACTTCCTGGGAACTAACTACACTCACTGCATGAAAGCAAAATGGTAAATCAGTGAAAGCTGTTCTGTAACCTGTTAAAAATGCACATCAGAAAGCTGTAAACACTGTGTGAAAAGTAGTTATTGAATTTGGTGGGGATGGAAAATACATCATTTAGAGTTTCATTCTTTGTTTTATCTTGTGTTCTTGAAATTATAGTTATTTTAGGAACAACAACAACAACTTGGCCAGAAAGTAGTATTTTGGGTGGAGTAAACCTTTAAAACCATAACTCAGTTTAAAAGTATTATTTGGGTGGAGCAAAATATGGTGAATTGATATAAGCGGTTTTGTAACTTGTTAAAAATGCACTGAGGAATGCTGTACATTAGTAATATAAATGATTTTCATAAAGTAGTTACTGAATTTAGCGAACATTAGTGACAGAAGAACACATTTGTCATTTCTACCTGCATATTTAAATTCCTTCGCTTTCATTTGTGTGCTTTTGTTGATTTGTTCATAACTACTTTCTGTTTGAATTGTGTTATTACTGTGTATTATTATGCTATGTTGTGTGTCTGTTTCTATTGTATACATAAAGATGGAAAACTCTCTTTGTGTGCTTTTATTCATAAAAGATCAAATGTCTTCTTGCAGTAGCACCCCCCTGATGCAGCCTCCTCGGTGGGCTGGACTCTGCCTGCTAAGTGGCCCTGCTGCTGCAGCCTCACCTCCCTGATGGACTGGCTGCCATCCGGGTTGATCCTGAAGGAGCCGGTCTGGATCATCTTCTTGGGGTCCACCTGAGAGATGGCCCACTCCATCTCATCCACCAGAGCCCTGCAGGCTGACAGCAGCAGGAGACACACGTTAGGGACTCAGCTCTGACTGCACAGTCCGCAGCCTGAGAGGACAAGTAGTCACTTTACCTCCACACCTGACGTCCTGACCCTGTCTGGCCGCCTGACCGCAGCTCAGCAGGAGACACGCAAACAGCCACGAAGCGAGCAGGACAACAGCTTCCCTCATTTTTGCGTCTAAACACACAAATCAGCATCGCACAGGCTGTAGGTCAAACACGCGGAGAAGTTCGGTCTCAGCCGCCGATAGCGACAAAAGACGTCTCCGTCCGACAGCAGAGACCCAGACGAAGCCGCGGAGTCCAACTTTTCATTCAGCTTACCTGTTTACCGGCGGCTTTTCTCGGAGCTTCTCGATCCTCCACGTTCTTCCATCACACTCGGTGAAATGTGGTGACGTAGCAGCGGAGCAGCCGGACAGGATGTGGAGCGCGAGGCCGTTCGGACAGCGCCATCGCGCGACCGGGAAGATCCCAGCACGAGCCGCCACACAGTTACTAGGGCAACCGCTCAGCAGCAGCAGCAGCAGCAGCGCGCGCAGCTAGAGGAGGCTGCAGTTTCAGGACCGCATTTCTAAGACCCTTTGTTTTGTTTTTCACGGAGTCCACTTGTTTAGTCCTAAGAAGAGTTAGCTTTTCTATTCCACAAAGACTAGAAAAAATAAAATATGTAAAGTTTTGGGTGGAATAAACCTTTATCCCCATACTTGTTAGTCAGAAAGTAACTTTTGAACATATTTTTATGACCTTCAAAACTATAAGCAGTATTTTCTGTGGAATAAACTTTTAAAGTTAGAAGTAGTATTTTGTGTGGAATGAACCTTTAAATTATAATTATAATTTTGTGTTGGACTTGTTGCTGATCGCTTCCTCAGAGGGAGTCCAAAAGCAACTTTGGATTGTTGGTGCAGCCTCCTCTGCTACAGACATAAACTGTAATATTGGGTTTAGGTACACACTGAAAATCAGGAATTCTATATTGCTGCTGTTGTGTAGAGGCTGGTTGAAAACTGTGTCAATATGAGAGTTAATGAATCGCATACTAATTAACTTTAGTTTCCTATTTTACAACCCTTTCCAGCCATAAGTCACTTTTTTGTGACCCTGTGCCGCCTGTGAAGTCAAAATATTTTTTATATTTATAGGGATATTTTTCTGTTTCACAGCAGCACATTTGCATCAGCATCTTTTCTCCTGAGATAGGTTGAATGGTGGTTATCCTAAAAGCCCAAATGTTAAATGGAATCATCCGTGCACATCGGATAACTAGTAACATTCCCTGCAAAAATAAGAAACCAAAGCATGTCAGAACGCAATTTCTTAACTCCCATATTGATATAGTTGTCAACCAGCCTCTTTACTAAAACATCAATAATAAACTCCTGACATTAAGTTATGGCGTTTGTTCCCTAAGATTTGCCGCCGTTCAAGATAGCTCAGGAGAAGAGACGACACCATGGAAAAGCTCCCAAATAGCTTTTGATTTCGTAAACACTGAAAATTCTGTCCATGTGTGATGATGGTTTTTCTAACTACAGCAACATTACGTACAATAAAATGTGTTACGTTGGTTGGACAGAAAATCTAATTCAAGGACCACAATTAATAACCACAACTGAGCAAACTGATACTTTAAATAGCCCCAATTTTAATCTTTCAGCAACAATAAACCATGAGGACATTACAAAAGAAAAACAGTCCAAACTGTACTGATCTCTTCAGTTTATTGGATGGTGTTTGGTCTTCTGTACATTCAGTCACCTTGAATGTTAATAAGGTCCAATTAATAACCACAAATACATGCCGTGACAGTTTCACACCTTCCATTGAAATGCCAAACAATTTCCAATAATACAGGAAAGGTGACACAAAATATCAGGTTATGAGGGATACAGAAATAACAGCAGCTCCAAATGAGTAACCGAACAGTGTTTTTCTCTGGGATATTTACAAAAAAGACCTCAGGGATTCGTTTCTTTCAAGTGTTGTTCACAAAAATAAAAGACTAAATAAAACTTTGGAGTCAAACCCTTTAAAAGGGGCAATATTTCCATTTTTTAAAATCTTTTTTTATTAAAGAATATTCAAATATAAAATACAGATGTTTGATCATTTAAAACAGAAGACCTTTAAACAAAACAGCAGAAAACCACCATGTCTTATGGTCTTAATACTGTTCAGTTTCACAAGTTCAGAAGAAAAAACCATAACATAGTACAGCTGCAGTTTTCTGTCTGGACATGAAACCAGAAAATGGTCTGTGAAAGGTGTTCCCAAATGTTTTGTTACACTTGAAAATGCAACATATGATGCAATTAAAAATCCACTTTATCAGTTTGTGGATAATTCTTGTAGAAGGTTATACGGACAGAAATGTACTCCTCTCATATGGAGATGCTAAGTGAACATTACATACACTTAGCATCCCTTTTCTCTTGTGATCCCATCAATGGTCCTCCAAAATGTAAAAAAATATTCAATCGCACAGGTTAAAGTGTCAAATTTTATGCTTTCAATTACACCTTGGCCCATTTTTTTCCGTATTCAAGTGCTGGTTTGTTTTAATTTAAACAGTGTGCTGGAGATCCTGCACATGAGGCACGTTGGTGAACAGAGGAGGCACTGTGGTCGTCTGCACAGTAGTTACAGCATACAGTACGAGTGCAGTTTGATATTTGGTCGAGGGAGAGGTTTGGTTTAGTTAGCAGCAGTCACACCTCTCAAGTGTTTTGTGATGGATTGTTTTACTTTATTATTATTATATGCAATGTTCTTCTTTTCTTGTCTAGTAATCTGGAGATATTTGTCATATTAGCACTCTGTTGTGAAAACAGCACTTGTTTTTGACATTTGAAACAGTCAGAAATGTTCATAATTTGTACAATTCCAAACTCCACCGACACTTTTTTTTTTTTTTCCAGGATATTGGAATTCCTGGGACGGTGCTACATTGAACATGCTGCTACCAAAAACGCAACACTTTTCTGATAGTAAGGGCTAATAAGGTTGGCTCGGTGGTTAGCACCGTTGCCTCATAGCTAGAAGATCCCCAGTTCAAGTCCCGGTCTGGACGCTCGGGATCTTTCTGTGTGGAGTTTGCATGTTCTCCCCGTGCAGTGCGGGTTCTCTCCGGGTTCTGCAGCTTCTTCCCACAGCCCAAAAACATGCTGAGGTTAATTGGTGATTCTAAACTGTCCGTAGGTGTGAATGTGATTGTGCCTGTTTGTCTCTCTGTGTAGCCCTAAGTCGACTGGTATAGGCTCCAGCGACCCCAGTGAGGATTAAGCGGTGTTTAAATAATGAACGCATGGATATATCTCTGATAGTGACCTCACTGTTTTATCTCAGCTGCCAATGTTTTGCTCCACATCAGTTTCAGGAAACAATAGCTGTATTTTTCTGTAAGAGAGTGCACTTCTGCACACATTTGGCTTATATGAAAAAAAAAGGCTAGCTGCTGCAACAAGTCTTCAAAAATCCCAACCTAAACAAAATAAAAGCATGTAAATAAAACTAACATTAAAACTACATATATAGCATTGATAAAAAGAGGAAACTAAACATAAATAAACAGCTCTTTAAACAAACTGGCCCAAGCTTAAGGGAGAAGGAATTTAAAGAATGAAAAGAAATAAAGAATGTGAGATCTAATTAATTGTGGCTGTGAGAGCATCAGACATCAGGCTGAAAACCGCTGAGCTGATCTCACTAGAATTACTACGTTCTGCACAGATCCATAATACTGAACCTCCGCTGCAGATTGACAGAAAATTCATACATTAATTAAATGGGAATGTAAACACATGCTGAAAAACAGACTCATAGATCATTTTGTAGCTTAAAGTTTGTGTTTGCTGCCTTTTTTTCTCTCTCGATATCATCACTAAACACCGCTGCAGTGAGGAGTTTGAAAAATCTTGAATCGCTGGTTTTAATTTAATGACGTACCGAGATCTTGTATTTTCATGAACAGTTTACACAGACTTGGAAATACAGACGAGCACATCTCCAAGAGCAAAAAGTGTTCTAAAATATTTTGCCCAGAGTGACATAAAACTGTCATTCTTTCATATGTTACATATAACACAGGAAAAAGTGTAACCAAAAACACATAAATACCTTTTATATTTTTAAAATGTTACGTACAGACTCAATATATTAATTATAACAATTTTGTAGTCTAATAATTATATCTAAAGGACTTTTTTTTAAAAATCACATCATTAAATAGAATAACAGGAAGCTGCTTGGTCCCCAACAAAGACAGAAACATTGGGAACATAATGCAGCTTTGGTGTTTGTTCTTTTTTAAATCACAGCAGATAAAACAGAGAGAGGTCAAAAAGGTAAATACATAAAAAACTGAGAGCCCTTTAATGTGGCACAATGTGCAGCCTAAGTAGCTGTAACGGACATCCAAATTGGTGCAACACTGTATCAGCCAGTGTTAAGGTGTAGTTTATTTTTGTGTGAATGATGACTGGAAACTGGTTGGCAACTATCACTGTTTCCTCTTTAACAGTGATGTAGTTTACTGAGTCACAGCCCAGGCAGCAGTTCAGTCATGTCTTCCTTTAGAGCCCAGATATTCGACCATTTTTGTCTTCAATATTATTCTTCCGCAACAGATTGTCATCTATCACTGATTTAAACAGACCTCTGTGGCTGTACACAAGGACACTTTTAAACACATTAGGCACCAAGAGGTGAGGACGAACACGTACTGGCCGAGCTTCTGTGGTCCCACGCTTCACTCAGGGCCTCCATCAGCGATCGCGTTCTCTCATCTGTCAACCAGCGCATCGGTGTCCATATCGTTCAGCAGGTAAATGTCTGTGTGGCGGGACAAGCCCAGCTGCATCTGAAAGAGAGACCACATGAAGGTCTTATTATTAGTGTTCACAGACTCATCACGCAAATCAGCTCAGCATGATTTCACCAGTTATGAGGAAAATGTTCCGATGATTTGGCCACGATTTGGATTCTGCACAAGTGGCGTGTGATTTTAGGATATTTTTACTGTCTAAACTATACAATTATGAAATACTCTGACTCTGCTTATTATGACCTGTGAAAGCTGTGTTACTGCAGCTGATTTTATACTTCTCTCAATATAACTTTATCCTCTTTCTATCGTAACACAACCCTGAAGATTTCACAAAACGTCAGGTATTGGCATTTCACTGCTTTTTAACTTGGATGATCATTTGAATAATATATTTAATGGATTTATCTAAAAGTAATATCAAAATCAATGCTGTGTTTTGATCAGCAATAAAGTTCAATCAGTTACCAATTTGAATTTGATTGTTTTATAATTATACATTAATTGAGGGTGCTCACCTTCAATCTCAACTTTCCTCATTTATTCCCAGAAAGTCCTGAAAAACAATCATTTCTACAGTCTAGCACCGAGAACTACTAGTCTTGTTCTTCGACATCTTCATCCAGAGAAGAAAGGATGAATCGAGTTCCATATTTTAACGCGAAACACATCTTATTTGGGTTACATTTTACTCACTGGTCAATTTAACAGTTTATACTAATGATGGTACATAGCAAGTGATAACAACTACTTGATTAGATTGTAAAGTAAGGCAAGTTAATCATACTTTATTACATACTTTGCAACAAAACTGCAATAATTTGCCTGTTTTAACTACGTTTGTATACTACTATATTTATCATTATATTTGTTTTTCTCCATTTAACATAGAAAACACATTGATGACAAGTCCTCCTGGAGACATTCAAACAGAAGACGCCAACAAATGTCCATATAGCCATTATTTGCGTTTATTTTGGACACACGTTGTGCTTCATCCAGTAGCAGAGAACAGACAGTTTTTCATTCGATCCCAGAGAGCAGAAATGAGTGTAGCGTACACATTACTACATCCACGTTTTCACTGTAACAGTTCAAGTGTGCATTTGCCATGTTTTGTTGTTTTTTTTTTCCACAAAAGTATTCATATGACATTGTACTAACTCAAAGTAGTCTGTAAAATATCAAGTTATGTTTCCATCACCTCCTTGTACACCCTGGAAAACTTTATAAACGCTTATGAGAACTCTAAACCAGAAACCTGCAGTTGTACCTGAAACCTTCACATTAAAGAGAATACTGTATATGAGAACAACTTAATACGAACCTGAGACCTTCATTGTACAAACGCTACAACGCACAGGTCATTTCCAGTGTTCCCATCGGTTGATATGTATGTCATATTGCTCAGTTAGTTGTGTTTTCTTCCTCTGTGCTCTGCCAGAGAACGTACAAGTGCAGCGTAGACTACAAGTAAAACTGATTTAGTATGTGAGCATCATCACCACCTGATGTGGACATGTTAGCAATGCTGCCTCACTGGGACAAAAGAACAGCTGTTTATTTGCACATCAAGCAGCAACTGCTTTTGCCTTCATGCAGGTGAGTTAGACAGATAAAAGTCTGTACATGGCAGACTTCAGTCACAGCTGTAAAATACGAGTGTGAGACAGGAACTGATGGCACTTAGCGCTGGCCGCTGATATTATAATTCAGCATAATTCTAAATAACATTGTCTGAATTCTCTTGTTGTTTTTTTCAGTATGGGAATTGTTTTATAAAAACAGGTTATGTAATCTTTATTTTGAAGCCCACTAGAAAAAAAACAATAAAAAATCCACAGTAAACGTTAACAGTACTTTTGTTGTTAACAGACAGAAATGAAATTTTTCCAAATGTAACTAACTAAAACTTAATAACGTTCAGAGGAGATAAAATACACAAGGTGAGAAAAATTCACATTTTCATTGCCAAACATTTGTTCTGCCATCATATGGCTACTGAGGAAACTATTTGCCTTCATAAAAACATTATGAGGTCTTAAATTAATCGGTGCAGAGTGCTGGACTCTGTAGTTAAATTATATGCATGTATATCTATAAATGAACCTAACCCTACTGCAGTCTATTCCCGGCTGTGGAGTTTTTTTAGACTTAAACCCACAAAATCATTTCTGAGGGTCAACGTCTGGAGGGAGTCAGATTCTCTACAATCCACAGAGGCAAACTTGTGATTATGGATTATATAAATAAACGTGACTTTCTTGTACATGTTTTGACTTCATTTACAACCATTATAAGTCCTTTTAATCAAACATAAAAACAGTTCCTTCGCTTTCGTTCAGAACCTTAAACCACATGTATTGTAATAGCACATATATAATTACAATACATTTCAAACAACCCAGCTGTTTTTTATCTCTCAACATATCCCACAGCTCTATAAAAGCAGATGTTGTAAGGAGGTCAAGACTGGTATCACATAGTTCAACAGACAAACAGAAAACCAGAAAAATATTTTTCCACAAAGCTCTTGCCCTTGTTAATTAAAAACTATTATTTTTCCTTTTACTGTTGCACCCACTTTAACCCAAGTCTCTGGCATCCTGATCACTGAGGCACTAAAAGAGGACGAAGCTGGAGTCACGTAAAGCTTCACTTGTTTGAATGGAGCAGTTTGGTTTAGTTCAACCAACACAGCTAGGGCTGGATATCATTTGGAGCTTTTTAAGCACATATAAAAGGACTTTTAAAAAGCCTTCCCACGTGTCATGTAACAATTATATTCTCTCTAAAAAGTATTTTTAAATGATAAGATGCAATAATCAAGTGAATCGAACTGCTGCAGAGAGGCTACACTGGGATGGATTGGTAGAGAACTCTGAGGTAGACTGAGTGGAAATCATAAAATGAAGAGTGCCTCTCTTTGCATTGGAGGAGGTGAGGAAAAGAAAACAGAGTCTGAGGTGGTAAAAATGAATGACGTCGCAAAGATCATCAAAAAAAAAACAAAAAAAAAAAACTGTGAATAATGGGAAAGAATGTAAGAAAAAATACTTTAGACTTTATACTCTGACTTATCAGAAAGAGTTACTCCTGTTACTGTAGTCCGTGATACATTTTTTTTAAAAAGTCTTGTTTGTAGTGATTATCTGAACATAAATAAAACCATATATACAGCCTATGAACACAGCTGTGTTTTACTGTGGCTGTATTTCATGTTTCCTCAGCGCTGCTCCACACATGCGGCAAAAGTGAAGCTTATTTTGTCCAACTAATGTCCTCATATGCATGTCTCATTTAAACATTTGCTTCCCTGGTACATTTTTTGATCAATATCCTCCTAACTTTGGGCACATAGTGTCTTATAGGTTGTTGGGTGTTGTACCGCATGAGAACTAAAGCATGTTAAAACTGTAGTTCAAGCTGCAGAGGAAACACAAACTGCCCTAGTCTTTCTGAAATCAAGCTTACATTATGGGAATGTGTGGGAACTTCTACCTCCAGACACAGATATTAATTATAAATATACTTGTAGCTACATATCGTATCAGCCCCTCGTGTCAAGATTGTCACCTTGTTAACTGAATAATGAGCTGGTGCCTTTGAGAACTGCTACAAATATTAGTATTTTTTTCAGTCATATATAGTGTTTTGTCAGAAATCAGCTCAAACATCAAATACTGGCATCTAATGTGCTGTGCTGGTGTCGTATTACTATGTCTGGGAACCTTAAAAAGCACCAAATTTTGATATCCAGCCCTCCCACAAAATAAACATGTGACATTAGCAGAAAATGTGCCTTTAAGATCCTACGTGATCTTGAAAAGTCCTGGTTGTGTAAAGGGCTCTCCCAAAGGAAAGAGACATGCTGGTGGTTACTGTCGTGTTCAGCTCTAGGAGTCGTACTCAGACTGCTCCTCTATGAACACAGCAGGTCGGTTGCTTACCCTGCTGCCACAGTCCACGCAGGAAATCCCCAACGCAATCAGACAGTGCCACACCTGCAACGACAACGACGGAAGAGCAAGAGGTCAACACACAACCAGCTTTGTGTGCACTTTTTCACTTGATCATTTTTTAAAGGCTTAAACTCCAGTGCAGTTCTGCACATTGATCCACTTTGCTTCAAATCAAACTATTGATAAAATAAATTAGGTTTAATAGATAGCTAGCACTAAAGTAGGTAGTGTGCTATATGTATTTACAGAGTCAAGTAAAAGAAATACATGGATAAAGTGAGAAAAAAAGCTATGATGACGCACTATATGAGAATCACAGGATTGAAAAGTGTCCAAAATGTCATACAACTAAAGCCAAAAAGTATCTGTTTGTTGAATATGACATTGCAGTATTGTAACTCACCAGGTAGCCGACAAAGCACAGATAGGCTACGGAGAGGAGAGCAGCGATAACGTAGAGAGCCACGTTGTTCAGCGCCGTCACGTAAACCACCACAAAGTACATGTTGATTGCACAAACCACCAGGATGACGATGCCTCCGGAAATCTTCCACACCCTGGAGAGAACAGACTCCTCTTTAGACCATTTAGAAACACTGTTTTTTTTCCTTCTTTAAAATTAGTCATTCCTGGAGATTTACCAGAAACTGACAGAAACTGTCCAGGACTGAAGTCTACTTGCATCCTGATGTCAGGGTTGAGTAAGTTCCTAGTTTAGGTAACTTCATTTTAGAACGTCTATATATGATTATAATACATATATTTTCTAACATACAGCATTAAACCAAACAATGTCTATATAAGACAGAAGTAAACAGATAACATGAGCAAATGAGCTGCATTTAATGAGTCACTGACTTCCACTACATAAAACTCTACATAAACTCTCCACCTGACAGCTGCACCTGAAGCCATCTCGCCTTTTGTTTCATCTCTTTAATTCTGTTGTTCAAACATATCCTGAAAATACAGGAAGGAGTCAGAATTCTGTCTCGCTTTGGTTTATACTTGGATAAGAACAAAAGACTGTTTGACAATGGACTTGGGTTTCCAATAATAAACCAACTGCTCCTTAGCTTCAGGCTTATCATTGCCCTAACCTTTGAGATTCTCTGCCATGGAAGGAGAAGCTGTGGCTTTCAGAACTGTGCAAGTAATTTTTAAAATAACTGTAAGTAAGGCATGAAAATCTCAGTGTTGGAAGCAATCATCCTGTCATTAAATATGATTAGTTGTTCGTACTTCAGAGGCCTGATGAACGGATGCATTAGACATTACAGTAAGAACTTATTATAAGATGCCTCACTTACAATCCATTGGCAAAGTCGTTCATTATGGATTTCAGACTGGTGAAAGTCAGAATTGGGATCAAAGCAAACGGAAGCTGTTGGATGAGAAGAGAAACTACAGTCAGTAACAATAAACTGTAAAAAAAAAAAAGAAAAAAAAAAAGGACATGAATCAAAGAAACTGAGCTACAGATTGTGTAAAGTTTTGAGTTCATCGTTGAGGGATTCTCAATTACTCTTCCTGACCTGCATGCTTTGAAGCACATTGAGGAAGTCGTTCATCCCTGTCAGATGCTGAACATCTTGAAAAATGGCTACCAGCAGCGTCGGCACGATGGCGATGGAGCGAGTCAGCAGCACCCGTGCAAAACGAGACCACCGTAGGTTCAGGAAACCCTTAGCAAACATGAAAGCAAAAACATGAATACACTACACGAGCTTATGATGATCTTTGTTTGTTTTTTTAAAACACAGAGTAAAACTACACCTACCCTCAGCACACTGCTTAATCAACATGCATTCTTACCTCCATCACAAACTGGCCAGAGTAAGTTCCTGTCATGGTGGAGCTCTGTCCAGCTGCCAGGATCCCTATGGCCCAGATGTAGAGAGCTGCAGGGCCAAAGTAACAGCCCAGAACCACTCCCTGAACACACATAACCACATACCAACACAAAGTTAATCATCCAATTATCCATCTACACATTCATTTGGTTATCTAAATGTAAAATCTAATGTTTAAATAATAAGCTGAATTTACAACTTGATGTCAATTTTGAATAGTCATATTTCATATACCAATACACCTTATCCTATATGATTTTTTTGTTTGAGTCTGCCGTTGCATTTCATACACCCTTCTACACCTCATCTCTTTGCCATCCCAGTCGAATAACAGCAAAAATCACAATAGAAATAGAAATATACTTCAAACTGAAGCTATTTAACAAGAATAATAAAATGCAATAGAATGGCTCCAAAACACAGCGTCACATCACCACTGATTATTTCTTAGTGCTGTATAACTGGTTGACATTGTCTGCACATTTACTGCCACAGCGCCTATGTCTTACGCCTGTAACGGTGACCATGGCCGATCTGTGTGATCAAACCTCATGTGCACAAACTGCTGATCAATAACTCTGTGACTCATCTTCATCACTTTATCACAAATAAAAGCATTTTAATTTTGCAAAAAAAAAAAACCAAAAACAGTGCACCTTTGACTGTTTTTGTCAGAGACTGCATTTAAATCTTTAGCATTAAGACCTTTTTTTTTTTTTTACCTATGCAAGAAGCCCTCCAAGATGGAATAAGTACACATGTTTGTGATGACTTAAAAGACACAGCAGCGCTTCTATACCATTGTCTTCTATATGTTTATCACGCTTTACCCATTCTGGTGACAGTGTGTGAATGCATGAGCAGAGGTTTAATCAACCAGTGGAAGTTGTTATTTATTTTTCTCTGCTGTAATTATATTTTTTTGCGATTTATGTTAGCAGCATGAGTCGAGAGTTTGCGTTGACCACACTTGCAACAAATTCAGTGTCTTGGTAACAATTCACCAATCAGGATTTACTGTTGTAGTGATGCAGACCACACATACCCCTTTGAAAATGTCCACCTCCAGTGTCTCGTTGTTGAGAGGGAAGAGATCTGTGTGCGGAAAGCCAGTCGCATTGCACTCTTCATTCTGCAGCAACACAATTAGCAACATTTCAATCGACACTATGTGCTATGATTATTAATCAAAAAGCGATTATTTAAATGTATTAGAAACAGAGCAACACAAGCTTCAGCAGTCTTCAGTATAGAGCGACAGATTTTTCCAACCGCATACTCACCACTTGCATATTGGTTTTATTGTAGAAGGCCTGAGCAAAGACTGCGACAACGAAGACGTTGATGAGGAAGGAGATAAACAGCGCGATAGTTGACTCGATAAAGAAGTACTTGTTGGCTTCCTTTACTTCCTTCTTATTTTTGCGATCAACGTCCCGGGACTGGTTAATGCGGGAATAAACAGAAAAATATGCAGCTATGATCAAACACCCCAACCAATGCATTTCATTTTTCATTTAAAAATTAGGAAAATCCAGTTGATTCCTTTCACCTTTTTCCTTTAGGCGTGAATATGCTACATATATATATATGTTTCTAACCTTGACCAGTGCTGAATGCAGGTAGATGTTGTGAGGCATGATGACAGCTCCTACAATTCCCACAGCCTGCTCCAGCTGCACGGGTCCACAGCCGGCACAGTAGGGAACAAACATGCCCTTCAGCAGCTCCGGTTGATCTGGCTTCACCAGCACGTACTAAAGGCAGATAACACAGAGTCAGACATGTGGAATAGCCATAAACTGCATGCAGTTTCTACAAACACTGGAATTATATATAAACAGTGAGGGAATGTTACCTCGTAACCAAAACTAACAGCCATGACAGTGATCAGAAAGCCAAAGAAAGCCTCAAGTTTCCTCAGGCCTACAGAGATATAAAAATACATGTAAACACTGGGATATATAGCTGATAATAGGTAGATGTTGTACATCTATAAAGGATAATCACGTACCATATTTATCTAAAAACAAGAACACAAATGTGTCTGTGATGGTGATGAGAACTCCTGCCCACAGTGGGATCCTTGAGAAGAGCAGAAATCGTTTTCAGTTTTTACAGAAAGAAACATCTTTGTGAATCTGTAAAACATGTTTGCAGTGATTTTTCTTAGATGAACAGTAAATCTGCTACCTGCCCACAGAGAGAAGGTTGAGAGCTATAGCACAGCCAATGACCTCCTGCATGTCTGAGCCAATGATTGCCAGTTCAACCATCAGCCAAAGGATGACCCGAGGAACCTAAAAAAAATAAATAAATAAAATTCAAAATTAAATCTCATCCATAGGTTACAGAATTTATTCAACAATATTCATGAGTATGAAATAAACTGAACAAAAAACTAGCAAACAGTGAGTGGCTTTACAAATGCAGCTTATTATTGAACAACAACAAAGAGCAAATTAACATGCATAATAAAAGTGCAAAATACTCACGGTGGGATACTGGCGGTTGCAGACTTCTGCCAGGTGCATCCCCGTGACAACGCCGAGGCGTGCAGCTAACCTCTGCAGCAGCAGGCCAATGATGGTGGCTCCGAGGAGCACCCATAGGAGCTGAGAAACAAAAACAAAATCAGCACTTGTTGCTAGGGCTGGGAATCCCAGAGAAACTTGCGATACTTTACTCACGATAACGATTCACAATTGCGATATTGAGCAATATATCTGTGCAACAGAAGAAGAAAATATATACCTAACTATCACAAATAGCAAGAGCTGTGTATGTAATAATTGCATGGTGGTGTCTCTGTATCACCACTATTATCTGTTTTAATAATGTATCAGTATAATTAATTAGCTGTCTGATTTGCTGTCCCCTGCTGCTTGTAATTTTCTCCTCCTTCACCACAGGTTTGTTAACTTTGGTTCACTTTACCCTGATTCATTTGGTAAGAACCACGAGTAGTAATGAAATAGTGACTGTGGTAAGTCAAACTTGTCGTGGGAATCCGTTTAGAGTGTCGGCATGTTTTTATAAACAAGGAAGTGATACTATATATTGCTGTATCGATGTTTTATGGGAGTTGTGTTTTGACAGATTTCCAAACAAAAAAAAATGTTCCCAAATTAATTCTTTCACATTTGAATCAATAAAACTAAAAAATGAAAATGGTATTTCTTTCAAGAATCACAATGAAAATAAATGTAGATAAAACTCACTGTAACCTGTTCCACCTATGATGAAGCAGATGCCTCTGACTAGAAAAATACAGTATATTGATGCAGCTCATTATGTGTCAGGGCAAAAAAAAAAAAGCGTCACCCAAGACGCATCAAGCTACAAAGGATAATAACTTAGAAGTAAGGCCAAAATATAACTATAAGGGGAAAAAAAAGAAAAACTATACAGTATGTTTTAACACCTGCAGCAACACATCTCAAATATGGAGTGAAAAATATAAAAGCTGAAATTAATAAAAGTCATGAGAATACTATAATATGTGTTTTCTTAAATGCACATCAATTACAGCTAAACCCCCTGTTGATGAATATGTTTTTATTCCTCACCTTAAAGCCAGCTTTAGCTCCAGACTGCAGGTCGGATTCAATGTTCCCTGGATCCAAATAAGCTATGCTCATCAAAAACCCTGGTCCAGTGAAGGCCCAGAGTTTACGGAAACTGAATACCTGAACAAGGGAGCCAGACAGTAGAATTTTATCTTTAATGCTTTATTTATAATATTTCGCAAATTCCGTTAGTGTGTTTCTGCCTAGATCATATATAAGAACCGGTAGTTGTGAGGTGGTACCTGGTTGACGCTCTCTGGAATGGGCACTTTCTCCTCAAAGTATGTGGAGAAGGGTTCGTCCTCCACCACAGGCGAGGCAGGAGGAGAGATGGCGCTGTACTGGTTTGTCTGGACTCCATTCTCTTGAGGGGAGTCCTCTGATTAACCACAGAAAGAAAAGCAGAGGGATTCCAGTTATCATTAGCCGAACCAAAATCTGTCTTTCCATTAAGTGTGGAAGCTGTTGTCAGAAATCTGGACAAGGCTATTTTGAAAGAACAGACTTCCTCCTGCAGCTCTCCCTCCTCTCTGTACTGAGTACATTCCACTATGGTGTCCACGTGACATAAACTTGGTCATCTCCGGTAGTTCACAAGAGTTTGCGTGGGCTCCTCTGCTGACATCAAACATGCAGCCCAGAATTTGTAACCCCATGTTGCCACAAGGACAACAGTGCGGATTGATAGAATATGTAGCTAAAATCTAACTGGAATGTAATCTTCTAAGAAAGTTGTATAATGACAAAAACTATAAATCCATGGTGTCTGCATCTGTCCATGTACTCGTCCAGAAGGAAATTTAACCAAAGCTTTGTACCATCCCTCCTGATCTGGGTGAAAAGACCCTGAAAACGAAGCCATGAGGAGGTGCAGAAGTCGACTTTCCTCTCAGACCACTTGAATTACAATATGCTAGAAGTTTATTATGAATTTGTGTCCAATGACACCATAAACTGCTGCTTGCTCCTGCCTTTCTGTCTACCAAACTCAGGCGCCACTAACCTCTTGAGACCAGGCTCTTGTTTGATATGCATTTTTCATTTCTCTGTGCTATTTGATCAGATCAAATAGCAAATAGAATATAATATATATAATAAAAATCTATTTTAAAAAAATATGTTCAAAGAAATATATTATAAATATAAAAATAGTAATAAGAAGAAGAAGAAGAAGAAGACGAAGAAGAAGAAGAAATTTAAAAATAAATATATAACTACTGTGGTAATACAACCCAAAATGTGTGGCCACGCATGTGGACTCCAGGTCTTAAGAGGTTAAAGAAAATCACTTTATTTTAAACTTGGAGCTTTCTTGAAGATCTTGCTTGAACCTGATTCTAAATGACCATCTGCTGTGCTACACGACTAACATTTCTGCAACAGCATTTGTGCCTCCTACGGCTTTTCCACAAACAAACATTTTCCTATTTGATTCTGAAAGTCAAAGTTGACATTGATGCCATTCACATAATGTTTACTGAAGTCAGGTGACACACTAACAGCTCGTGTTCAAACCCGGCAGAAGTGACTCAAAGATTTTCTTTATTTATAGAAATTTGGTATAAAATAATTAATTGACTGCAACCTAATATTACTCCACAACATCTTGCCAAAATGCATTTTTAAGAAATCATGTTTCAAAAACTAACTTATAATTCTAAGGTTTGAGCAGCAGCGTCAGGGTCGTATTCAAGTGATTTACTTTAAGACTCAAAATTATACGTTTCACTTGGTCAGCAGAAACCAGTAATTAGCCCCACATTGTTCACATTTTAAACCTAGCGATTCTACAAACATGTTTTATGAGAACGCAGTAAAGGAAAGGGCTTACATATGAGAAAAAACAACAACAGCAGACAATATATAAAAAGTACAAAAGAAATCTGACTTAAAAGCTTTTCAAGATCTATAATTACAGTTTAACATTTCTGACAAATCTATAATTATTTTGTAAGTAAGCCTGTAAATTCAGTGTACTACTCACTGAGTCTGGACCTGTCAGTCTTTCCTCCCTTCATCGCCAACTCACTGCCGGTCCTAAAGTCCACTGTTGCCTAAGAATGTCTCTGCTTTTTATATGACTCGGTCTTATCACTCTTTTTTTTTTTTTTTTCCTGACATTAGATGTCACAACAACAGTCTGACATTGTGTTTCTAAAAATGACCCGCAAAGACAGAGAAGTGAAGTCATGACAGAACAGGATGTCAATAAAACATAAAACCCGCCCCTTACTTACATGGAATCACGAGCACTAACACAGTTTTCCTCTGAAGTTATCAGAGGCAGTAGTCTTATTAAAGCAAACGTACTACAGGATCAGGAATGCAGAGGATTAATCTCACGTTTTGTACATGTATTGTATGATTTTTCAGAATGTCAATAATGGTGCTGTGGTTACATACACAAATAGAGTATAAGAAAAAGTAAGTGCCGTAAAATATCGTTTTACTGGGCTGCAGTTCAGTCCAGCAAATATGTCCGTGAGTGTTTGTCGGGATTGTTGCTCGCAGCTGAATCACAACAGTTGCAGTTGTAATGCAAATGGTTTACTTTTTCAATTTTTTCTAATAAGACATACAAAATAGAGTGATTTTGATCAAATGTCACAATTGTAAGCTTAGATTTTCTAAAGTTTTCCAAAGAAATGGTACGCCAAAGATGAGTAGTTCGACAGTCATGATATTTTTTTTTACAGTTTCTGCCTTTGATAAATGGTGCAATTTAACATGCCCTTTAAACCTGAACATGTGAATGTGCATTGCAGTCTAAGACAAACACCCTGAATGTTTAATGTTGGAGAACACGGTGGGTGAGGCTGAAATATGTGATGGTCATGTTTCTGTTATCTTAAGCAGCTACCTTCCAGGAGGTCTCCTTCTTGCTCGGCCTTCATCAGGGCAGGCTGAGGGATCCCTGGGAACTGGAGGGATGAATATCAGCCTCCCTGCAAAAAACAACAACTGTTACATTAATCGAATGAGAATCAAAGAACAGACTGTTGAAAGTTGCTTTTCTATCATTTGTGAGTAAAACAGTTACTATCGTGCTACTCAGGTGATGCTTCTCTCCCTAAAACTTACAATTATTAGATATTACATTATAAGAAAAATGTTCGAGCGAAACTAATTGCTTTCAGGTTTTCACACAGAAAGTACAAACAGCTTCAACGTGAGACATGACTGTGCAACTATTTGTTCTCCTTTTCCCCTTTAAGAAAAAACAAAAACAGAAAAATGTATGCGTCATTATATTGACTAAGCAAGTCAAAGGCCACAGTATCCATGAGAACCTTCAAAAGGAAACCTTGAGTTGACCACTGACGCCTGACTTTCACTTCCACCACATGCATCCTTCCTCTAATTGAAAGACGTCCACTCTCCACAAAGCGAGTACATCTTAACTTAAGACCCAAAAGATGAAATAAAATGCAAAACAACTGTGTCTTATTATGACACAGAAAACTCAGGTCTTCCAAAAGCACATGATTATGGAATCACATGAGGCAAAAGAGGAGCTGAGGCAGCGGACGGAGCAGCTTTTCCAACAGTCAAGGTTTCCAAAAGAGCGCAACTTCCCCAAACTGAACATTAGCCCAGATCATTCTGAAAGTGATCATTTTTTCTGCACTATGAACTAATTGACCACAGTTAGAACTTCAGCATAATATAATGGTTGCTAGGCAAAAAAGACATGATCTGACAATAAATGCACCGTGCCACAAGACATTACTTCTTTGGCCTTCTCTAATAAGGTCATTTGTTCTTCTCTCCTACAGGGCAAAGTGTTATTGGAAACTCTGCAGTTAAAACAATTTTTTCTCTCTGAAACTGAGCCTCTTGACTTTCATTGGCACTGCTAGCGGAGCAAATCTGCTTATGACTGTATTCCCAAGTAAAGGCAGCTTACTTACAGCAGATGAGGCATTTATACACCACTAAAAATTATTAATCTCCATCTCTTAAAACTGTTTATGCTCAGTAATGTAGGTTTAGAAAGAAACATTTTAGTTTTGAATGTTATTGTATGTTGACACAATTGGAGGCACCTTATTAAATTTGCCATTTTTTGTACCCTTGATTACTTAAAATTAAAGTAGAATATATTCAGAATAGGAAATAATTTTAAAAAGTCACTCAGAGAGCACTCACAGTAGATTGAAAGCAAGTGTGCAGTCTTGTGAAATTGCCCTGGAGCTGGATCTGGCAACAGGGTTGACTGATTACTGGGCCACAGGACGCTTCACTTCTCTGACCTATTTGTCATGTGTTGTCATGTGGCCACAGTCAGCAGTTACTACACAAACCAGAAAGACAAAGAAAATAGGGTTTCAACTGGCATAAATTATACTTTTGCGTGACTATCATTGACATTTGGTTCATGTAGTGAGAACATGGCTCAGTTTCTGCACTACCCCAACAACCTTTACCAACTCTTCGAAATCTACGTTCACCAACCACTCAGCAAGCTCACCACCACAAACCTAACGGTTGTCTGACTCGACTTAAACTTGCCCTTTGAGTACCAAATATTTGTTCTGTTTCAATATAAAGATGTATTTCATCTCGTCTGATCTGTTTGCCAAACACACCAGCGCTACTGACAAAGACATTAACAGAGATTTTTTGGCATCTGACTGAAGCTGTAGCAGTGTGAAATTTATATTTTCTTTTTCATATATACCTACACCAATCAGTCAAGGTTGTCCTGCTTTGATCAACCTGTGTGTCTACAGTTTCATGAATCTGTCACTTTTGCTTTGTCTTTAACTGCAAGTGTCTCAAAGTGTTCACAAGATGGCCATTAAGTGAACTGCAAATTACGTGTGACAGTGGACTTTTGGAAACAGTTAAAACCTGGCTTTATTTGGTCTACTATTTTTCTTATCTGTGTTACGTCTGACACTCTGGTATGTGTTGTACTCGTCTTGGTGTGACCTGGATTACGTTCTTTGGTGGTGTAACTCCTCTAATGTGTCGACACTAATCTTGTCAAACACTATGGACAACCACAAGTATGTGGTGCTCAAAGAAATTCCGGCTGACAAAGCTTCCTGGTAGCTAAGACCGAAATCAAAGTGAGCTCACATGATACTCTACAGTCTACACACTATAATAGCACCAGCACGGCATTCATAGAGATAAATCGAGCTCTGTCATTAACTATATGATTAATTTTGACTTTATCAAATGTCAAGTTGAATTTTCTAACGTAGTTCTAAATGAACAACTGGTAGGCCTAGCACAAAACAACATCACCCAGTCACCCATTTCTTAAACTTTCTGGGCCTGAACAAACATTAATATAACCTAATCTGCACAAAACAGCTTTCACTATCTCTGCAACTATGACAACTCCCAAACTGACGAATGATCTCTAATGTTCCACCCCTCCAATTGTGGTCCCTGCAGACTTTACACGCAACACAAAAAAAAATCTAAACAAATAATCTCTAATATTTTCAAATAAAAACTCACCTTGAACACTAAGACATCAAACCATCCACATTCAACACAGCTCTGTTCACCTCTATGGACAATCAGCTGCCATGAAGATTAAAAGATGAGCAGTCTCTGATATTAACCAGGAAATACAACATTCAAGAGCTCGGCTCTTACAAAAAGCAGGTCAAATAAGACCATGTGCATACCTCTCACATAACAAAAAAACAAGACTTTTTCATGTTAAAAGTGGAGACAGATTTCTACTGAGTAATATCAAGTAATAAAAAATATAGAATGTCAAATAAGTGTTTGCATAAACTTTGTCTGACAAAATTGAGCTTTTTGGCCATCAGACCACACACTATGTTTGGAGGATACCAAACACTGCACATTATCACAAACACAGCATCCCCATCATGAAGCATGGTAGTGGCAGCATCATAATGTGGAGAAGCAGCAGGCCCTGGAAGGCTTGTCGAGGTAGAATGTAAAATGAATGCAGCAACTGCGACTTGGGAGAAGATTTGTTTTCCAGCAAGACAATGCCCCGGCGCATACAGATAAAGCTACACAGACATGGTTTAAAAGCAACAATGTGAATATTCTGGAGTGGCTGGGTCAGACACCAGATCTTAATCCAATTGAGAATTTGTGGCTAGACTTCAAAAAAGGTTGCTCATTATTGATCCCTGTGCAACCTGACAAATTCTAAGCAGTTTTACACAGAAGAACAAGGCAAAACTGCAGTGTCCAGATGTGCAAGGCAAATTGAGACCTATCCACACAGGCTCAATGCCACAATTGTGGTCAAATATGCATCTACTGGGGCGCCGCTATAGCTCACCTGGTTGAGCTGGCGTCCCATGTACAGGGCTACAGTCCCGATGTGGAGGTCATGAGTTTGAATCCCACTCATGGCCCTTTCCCACACATCCTCGTCCCATTCATCTCCCCCACTTTCCTGTCTCTCTCTCACTGCTCTATCTAATAAAGGCACAAAGGCCAAAAAAATAAATTTAAAAAAATGCATCTACTAAATGCTGACTTGAGGGGCATAAATACTTATGCAGTCATTTACTTTACGTTTCATTATATTAATCACCTGACATTACTTTATGAAAACATCCATTTTCACATTGAAATGAGAAAGTCTCTTATTTTTGTAAATTCTTGTTAAAAAAGCCAAATTAAATTGATAACGGTTCAATGTTGAAAAGCAATAAAAGGTGAGAATTTCCAGCAGGAATGAAAACTTTTTTTAGCAGCTGTGTGTGTCAGTAGAATAATTATCACAGCAGTTCCTTTTTTTACAACAACCTACACACTCATCTGTCACAAGAGACGGCCATTAGGAAGGTAGCACTTCACATAAGGGCAGATTATAGGCATTTGGGACGTGACTCAAAATGATCTTTCATGATTACACATTTAGTCAGGCTACATTAAGGGCCACAAAAAATAACTGCTGTGAACAATTACATTCATTTTCTCTTTCATGAATCCATGCCTTTCCACAGGGGTTGAATAGATTTCACCAGCTAACACCTTATATTCCACTGACACACAGAAACAGGAAATTTGGTTAATTGGAGTTATGGTCAGGATGTATCTTACTCATGGGGGTTCCCAGCACAATACCACATAGCTTAAAAGTGCAGGAAGTGAGGAAAGCTCTGAACTTCAGCAGCAGCTCTAAAAAGAACATGTTGTCCTGAATACTACAAGAACAACTGATCCCCAGCATTACTGGAGTTTTGACCCCCTTGAGGTTGCCTTTCTTTTTCAAAGCACTTTGCAAGTAGATGCTGTTACGCCCTCATTCTACTATTCAAGATATACTCAGAAAAGAGCATTACTATAGTAAATGGTCTTATAATGATTTTGTTACTGTCACATGTAAGCCAGCATAATTACTCAAGTGTAACAGGTGATGTTTTTGATTCTGTTATACTCAGGTATATATGGTTTGAACACCTGTCCAATTGGCGCACATGTAAAAAGAGCATTGATGTAATAATCATTACTACTGAGCCAGCTTCAGTAAGCGTCACCTGATGGTTTCATCAGTTCAGGAGGCTGCTCTGACTCTGATGTTTGACACTCTGACTTTATTGACTTACAAAAATATCTGTAAGTAGATCGTGTTATTGCCTGGACGTTGCACTTTAGTGAAACACACCGGTGAACTCAGAAAGCAGTTTGACAACAACCAAGCCTTGAGTTAGTCTTTCGGTGTCAGCGCACTTTACAGCTAAAGAAAAAGAGAGAAGTTAACCCGAGCTGGAACTTGAAAATAACGTTTGACCTCTTGTCCCAATGAGGTCTTTAGCAGCTACATGGTGATGTTGCTGTACAAGCTAGCTAATTTAACCGCTATTTAACCCTTCAGGTTTGTACACCAGAGCAACCTCTATGACCACCTTCATAAACCCTTCCGACAGACCCGACACTACAAACCTCCATATGCTAACACCGTCAATGTAGTCCTCCTGTGCTATCAAAGCTAACAATTTTCCATGATGCATTAGCTGTCTGGTTGAATATGCTAACGCTACTGACAAAGTATGAACACGATCTTACCTGTGTGTACTTTATAGGACGGTAAAATAAAAGGCTGTGGTATGATGACTAAGTTTCCTTCTAAACCGGCACCATGTGTTTAAATTTGAAGCTAAGCTAGGCACGTTATCAAGCTAAATCTGGCAAAGTCGTATCGTTCCATGTCAACTGTAGGTTCAAGGTACACTGCGCATGTGCAGTAGTACCGCACTGTTCTGATTGGCTTGAGGAATAAAGACCAGCATTAGCCCTGAGCGCAGTCTGGCAGGCGATGAAACTGTAAAAGTACAAAACAACCCTCAGCAAAAGTATCAAAAGTATTCACAGCAGGAAGAAAAGGAAATGAAGAAGGAGTTGAATAAAGCAGTGTAAAAGAACAATATTTCCCTCTGAACTGTAGTGCTGTAGCATAAAATCAAAGCACTTATCGGTATAGAGACCTAAGTATTTCAAATTTGTGCACAGGCACAGCTGTGTAATAAAGAAATAAATAAAAAATTAAAATGTACTGAAGTATAATGAATATGATTTATATATGCATTGCCTGATTTATTTATTTCAGGATTAATTAATAGCGATATTTATTTATTCCATATGAAAATTTATTTATTTATTGATTTGAACATTGTTCCCTATTGAGAATTTTGAAATGACAAATTCCCCTTTAAATTTTCATGTTAATATGGTCATACAAAACCTATACTAGTGTGTAAAAAAATTTCAACAGTAAAGTTCTATTCTATTCTAAAAATGAAAATGCAAACGCAAAATGCACTTTCGTTTTTACTCAATATCTTTCCGTTCATACTTTCTATTCAAGCAACACACGTGTGGTAAATGACAACGCTATAGTGGAGCTACCGTTTAATTTTCAGATTTAAACGATCATTTAAATAGAATCTGAGATAGGCTTCTTTACATAGCAAATCCAATGGATTTTTTATTTTATTTATTTATTTATATTTTTAAATAAATCCCAACTAATTTACATTTCAGTTTTATTCTATGGAATATTTAGTTTTATTGTGTAATATACATACATTTAACCAAAACTATGTATAGATTAAATGCCTCTAAATATAATGATTCCAAGCATATCTCATCAAAGTATATACTGACGTGAGAAGGAAAAAAAAATTCTAAATCCCTCAAAATCACGTTTCTTTAACTTCTCTCGCGATGTTCTGGCAACTGTGTGGTGTACACAACACATCCCAGTGGCTAACTAAGCTAAAGCTAGGCTAACTAGCTTCTACAGACTGACATGTAGTCAAATCTACGCTGAGTCTCAATGAAGGAGCTTCCACAGTGATTGGGACATGGAGTTAAGAAATATCAAGGACCAGGTATTTAAAAGGCTCTTTTTTGCGGTCTGACTTGCCGTTAGATAACCTGCCCTACTTCTGACTACTGCTCACAGCTGGCTAGTCATGTTAGCGACATGACGAGGAAAGTTTTCTACAAGGCTCGTTAATGTCACAGAATCAGTGCCATGCAAAGATAGATTAAGTTTTAGTTTGTGCGAGAGGTTTGCTCGATCAGTTCCTGAAGAATTTGATTTTTGACGTTTTAGTTTTATGATGCCCTAAGACTCTCATTTGTGTCATTGTAGCTGCTAGTAACTGAACTCTCAAACCTGCCAAAAAGCATTTTAAACATCAATTTTAAATGTAGTTGTCGACTGCATCGTGCTTAAGATCGATGTGTCATTGCTAAAATTATCCCCATAGTTTCCAAATAATTATTTAAACTGTTTGAAGTTTGCATGAAGAGAAAAAAGTTTTCTTTTTCCTCATTTAAAGAAAATGCCAGACAGGAAATTCTTATTGTTTTACGGGACGTTCTTGACTTTACTGAGCAGACAGCATCATGCAGATCAATCATGGTGTTATGTCTAAATTATTGGTCTGAAATGTGACAGATTCATTCGCATCCTGACTAAGTTTATAATAATAATGAAGATAAATGCCTTTCAAAACAACCAATTCCACTTTACCAAATCGGGTACAATGAGAGAAGAACAGGACATGAGTGGATAAGAACTGAGCACCTCGGCACTGAGTCCAGCTGGGTTGTAGTGGTGGTGATGTCCAGGGTCATGGTGCAGCGGAAGGATCTGGTGTTAATGGTGCCAAGTCTAAAACCTGGGACAGACAGTAGAGTAGGTGTGTAGTGTGTTGAGACTTGGAAAAAAGAAGAAAAAAAGCAGTCTTAGAGGTTTAAGAGAATCAGGTTTTGGAAGGCTTTGAAGATGAAAAATAGGCTCTTGTAATGTTTCTGTTGTTGAACAGGCTCCCAGTGGAGCTTAATGAGGGGAGGTGTGATATGGGCAGTGGGCTTCGAGCAGGTGATGACCTCAGGATCAGAGTTTTAAAGGATTTGGAGGCAATTAGGAATTTTATTTGAAATCCCAAAGAGAGTGGAGTTGCAGTAGGAAGCCATGCGTGTAGTGACCGGGGAGTGAATAAGAACTTCAGAGATAGGGAGTCTCCAGGTAATGCTGTGAAAAAATAAAAAGCAATATGTGTTATTAATGAGGGGGCTAAAGGAAAGTGTGCTATCCAGTATAACACCCAGACCTTTGATTTGAAGGGGAAGTGTGGACCAGAACATCGTGTATGGGTGCATTTTAAAAAGTGCAGAACCTCACTTTTATTTCCACTGAGCAAACACATTTGTTGGGCTTGATTGCATTCTGTAAAAGTTTGTGAAATTACTGATTTTAATCAAGTTTTAATGTGTAAATTTTCATGTTGTTCTTGTTCTGCATTTCAAATCTCTCTTTCAGTCTCCATTGGTCCAGGCCATTTTCAGCCGAAACACAGAAGATGTGACATTTTTGTTGAACCACAAAGAAGATGTCAATTCACTGGTACTATTCTCCAGCATGAACTCATCAGTCATGATGTTTTTACAAGTTGTACTGTCTAACTTGCATGCAATATCTTTTGGGTGAAGCGTATATCAAGCTTAGGCAAATGGTTTAACTGCATCACTATCACAGGGTATTAATCATGGCTTTGCTGACTGTGCACAGTTTTTTAAATGTAAATTCAAATATGTGGATGTTGTAGGTTACAGTTCTATTGTGCATTTCATGCAAAATGTCAGTTAGATCAAATGTTTCATACCAACATATGCAGTGGGCTTAGAGCAGGTGATACTTGTAGATTAAATGTGCAAACATTTGGTAGTCATACTGTAATAAAGACCAAGTATAATACAGGATAATAAAAATGAGAAAATGTGTTGTCTGCATTATATGAATTCTTGGATTAGATTTCATTTATTTATTTTATCCTTTTGCTTGGGTCAGGACCAAGAACAAAGCACACCACTTCATGCTGCTGCTTACCTGGGTGATGTCCATGTTATGGACCTCCTTATCAGTTCAGGTAAAAAATTAAAAAAAAACTGTTAAAAATATTTTACTCAAAATATGTCTAAGTGAATTGTAAATCTTTGCGGTGATGGAGCCCGTTAGTCAGTCATCAACTAAAACACCGTAAAAATGCTCAGTGAAGCTCATTCTTGCTTTTGTTGCTCTGTTACAGGTGCAAATATCAACGCTAAGGACCAGGGGATGCTGACTCCTCTACATCGAGCAGCTGCCTCACGAAATGAGGTGCATTCTTTTTCTCAAAACACAGAAATAGAAATAAAACACAAAGTCTCCTACAACCAGATCTTAATATTTGATTTATACTTTTTCCTTTCAGAGGGCTGTGGAGCTGCTGCTAAAGCACAGTGCAGAGGTCAACACACGGGACAAATTTTGGCATACACCCGTACACATGGCCGCTGCAAACTGGGCGACAGGCTGCGCTGAAGCCTTGTTACCGCACGTCTGCAGCCTGGATGTTACCGACAGATCAGGAAGGACACCACTACATCATGCAGCACACAGTGGCCACGGAGAGGTAAACTATGAAGCTGGTAGCATTAACCAGAGTCTTCATTTGACCTTTAACAGTTCCTGAAGTAACTACTGCAACTTAACAGTGTGTGAAACAAGATGTATTTCCTTTTGTTGGTTGTTGTTTTAAAGTTGTAGAGCATTTATTTAATAACATGTTGATCGAGCTGCAGACAATTTATAACTTTACATGGACACATTGCTTTACTAAGTTTTTATGCATCTACAGATGGTGAACTTGTTCCTCAGTAAAGGTGCCAACGTGAGTGTTAAAGATAAGAAGGAGAGGCAGCCGATCCACTGGGCTGCATACCTCGGTGAGAATTACATGCATATGTTTTGTTGTGAGTGTAAGAAAGAACAAGAGCAGATGTGCGTTAGTGGTTGTGTGCATACTGTGGGGGGAGTCACCTCAAGGTTGGCCACAGCTGTTGGAAGGATTTCACAATATTGTTGAGGGAATTAAAAATTGTTTTATACGTATATACTCCATATTGTACTTGTGTCTCAGTCTGTTTATATACATGCACAGTTTATACATGATAGTATAGACATCTCATTGTGTGCAGAATGTTAATTCATTGTCTGAGAAACAAGTGTGTAAAAGACTTAAATGTCAGAACATGCATCGAGAAAGTATACATAGCTGACATGCTTGCACTGCCTCCAAATCTATTTTAGCCATGTGTCACTGCACAGTTGGTTGTTTGATTTATCAGTCTGTGTATTGTTAATAGTCTTGACAGCTATGATATCTTAACTGAACAAAACAAAATTGGAAGTGCACAAAAAAATAGATATTTTCACTTTGTAATTCATAATAACAGTGTTGTACTTGTATGATTTGTCACCAACCCCAGTCTCCTTTAATTATACTAGTCTAGTGTTTAGTCTGCACACTCACGGTAGAGGCTTTACAAGTAAATGGGGTGTGATGTGTAATATGTAACCAAAGGCAGACGCTTGTAATGAATGTTATTCTCTTCTTTCAGGACATGTGGAGATTGTGAAGCTGCTGATGTCGCACAGTGCAGATGTAACGTGCAAGGACAAATGTGGTTACACTCCGCTCCATGCTGCGGCGGCCGGTGGACAGTTAGACGTGGTCAAATATCTGCTGAGACTCGGGGTGGAGGTAAAGCAGCTGTGGCTTTGTCACATCACTATTACAAAACACAAAAAACTTTAAATAGTAAAATAGTATTTGAGCTGCCATTTCTTTTATATATTGTATATTCTATTGTACATTGTATTTGTAGGATTTTTTGTCCTTGCTTTCTAGTCAGAATTAAGATATAGTCCTACAGCAAAGCAGTCTGCTGTTATAAATGGTTTAATGTAAGATGAGGAATTAATCTTACATTAAACTGAGCTCCAGGCCCAGTTTCATGGTCTGTATCACTAGTTACCAGGGTAGGAAATTAACCTTTCAAAGCATGAACATCTACTCAGAGAGAGAAAAATGATTAAATTTGCCTACTACTCAAAAGTCAATCATTATTTTGTGTCTTAAATGTCTTGACCTCCTTCATATATAACCAGCATTTGTCAGGACGACGGTTTTCCTCTCTGATAGTTATGCTGGTGCGTTTCCAATCTTGATCCAAAATTGTAACATGAATTCCAAAAAATGAAACACAGAAAATATTAACACAAAATAATTATTGCATCATGTTGCAACTCGTAAAAATTTGCTTTAAGCAGATGGTAACAGGGTGATCTGGTTACATAGCACAGCTCTACATTTAAAGCTGAAACTAACAACACATCAGATATGTGTGTGTTTTGTACCTGTCTGTGGCTTTGGACAAGTCAGGTCATTTAAACCTGTTTTGTTTAGACCCATTTTTGGCTTGTTTGTTTAGGTCAGCTGTCTACTGATGTAACCGACACTGATATGACCTGCTGTATTTCTTGAGCACACAGCTCATGTGCTTTTAATATCATCATTTTTCATTTCAAACTCATCAATTCTTTAAAACCTCTTCTGTGTCTCAGATTGATGAACCCAACCTTTTTGGGAACACAGCGCTCCATATGGCCTGCCACACAGGGCAGGACACCGTAGCCACTGAACTGGTGAACTGCGGCGCAAACATCAACCAGCCCAACCACCACGGCAACACGCCGCTGCATCTGGCTGCCGGTTCCTCCAGTGGGGTGCTGTGTCTGGAGCTGCTCGTCAACAATGGGGCTGATGTCAACGTGCAGGTAAAGGGCTTTATTTTAAAAGGAGAACAAATAAGAAAGAAATAAGAATTCTGTAGTGCTGGATTGTAGTGATTTGCTGACGGATTGAATGTTAAACCTACCTTGTTTTCTTCACGTCAGAATAAAGAGGGGAAGAGCCCTTTACATATGGCTGCAATGTACGGACGCTTCACAGGCTCCCAGATTGTGATCCAAAATGGTAACATAAATTGCAAAAAATACTTCCAACACCATGTTGTTGCATGTGATTGATGGTGTAAATGAAAAAATGTCCTTGTAGGTGACCTGAACTTGAAATACATATCAGCATGTGTATTTTCTTCCCTCTGTACAGGTGGAGAGATTGACTGTGTCGACATAAATGGAAACACTCCTCTTCATGTTGCTGCCAGATATGGTCAGGAGTTACTGATCAGTACTCTGCTGACGAATGGTGCTGACAAAAGCAGGTACGTCTTGACTGTTTCATGCTGCTGGTGGTAAAAATTAGAGGTTTTGGAGTCACACTTACACATTTTAATTTAACATAAAATGAAAATGCCTAAGTGTTTCAGCTAACTGAATGTCAGTATTACATTTTTTTGCATTTTTTTTTAAAATATACAATTCATTGCAACTAATCTTCTAGAATTCAATCAATAAGTAGCTTAAGTTGTACCATCCAAAATCCACATACACAGTATTTATTTCAAATGATACTTTGAGAGTCTGTTTTCTGATAAAATGTGGACAGAAAATGAAATTGCCAACTTGGGGACAGCACAGAAAAGTGCAGTTTTATGTTGTTGATGCGTAATATTTTCTGCTTTCACAAAACCAACTCTGCAATGATACAACCATCTTAAGTTGTCAGGTGACACGAATTATTGCGAAAGGATCTCTCCCATCTGTACCATCCATATAGCAGGAAGATGGCATTAAAGGTCTAATCCAACAATAGAAATAGTAGAAATGGAATGAAAATAATAAATTAAGTGATTGTGGCCCATAGTTACAATATTAGAGAGAGCATACTAAACATAGCAATGTTGTTATCTCTAAAGACAGGGGATTCATGGGATGCTTCCACTACATTTGGCGGCACTCTTCGGCTTTCCAGACTGTTGTCGCAAGTTATTGTCTAATGGTGAGATCAGTTCAGAATCAACGTATCCTGCTTTGTAATCTAATCTCTTCCTTCTTTGAGTTTATTGACTTATGAGTCTAAAGTGTTTCTGTTGTTTGTGCTTCGCTCAGGCCAGTTTTACAACCTCATGCCAGCTATGACGGGTGGAGAGATGCCACCAGTGGGGTTTGATATAAACATTGCAGATGATCACGGGAGGACGTGCCTGCATGCAGCTGCGTCTGGAGGGTGAGTGGTGAACACACTTCTTAATGCTTCACATTATAACGAAAGTTAAACAGAAAATTGTATATCGCCATGCAAGACTGATGATCAACATGGAAAAAAGGTGCTGCCTAAAACTTTATATTTTGAAATAATAGCTACAAATCTGTGCAACATAGCCCAGCCAGGGTGAAGGCAGGGGACACCCTGGACAGCTGGCCAGTCTATCACTGCAATATTATGTATCACACAAATAAGCCTGACTAACTGCAACATTAAGGTTAAGCACCGACACTATTACAACCTCAAATTACCTGGCCAGTTTACAAATTAAAGATAATACCCCGCAAAATTATACATATAAAACCTAACTAATCCAGAGATTTCCTATGTGCAACAGTGGGCTTCCCAAGTTTGAAGTTGTGAAATGAATAACTGTATTTATTTTTTGCTTTTTAGGAATGTTGAGTGTCTCAATTTGCTATTAAACAGTGGTGCTGAACTGGATATTAAGGACAATTTGGGAAGGTAAGCAGTGCTGAATAGCTGTGAGTATGAGTTTAGCAGTACTTTAGTGTAACCTGATGTCACAGCTGTGTCCTGTTCTGCCTCGCAGATCTCCTCTGCATTATGCTGCAGCCAACGGGAACAGTCAGTGCACAATCTCCCTGGTGAGAGCTGGTGCAGAGGCCAATGAGCTGGATCTGACGGGCTGCAGCCCTCTGCACTACGCTGCTGCTTCACACACCTTCTGTGGGTGAGAACCTTTGCTGCTGTTTCATGTTTTACACGTCTTACTCAGGTAACAAGAACAGCATGTTATGGGCAGTTCTATACAAATTGCCGTGACTGAAGGTTAATATTGCTTGCCTTTCTTTCCACAGAGGGGGGATGAACTCTGAGCCAGACTTCATTGGGGAAAAGGAACATGAAGCATCTTTGTAAGTTGCATGTTACTGTCATATACAAAGCAGATAAACTTACTTTAATACATTTTACTGTATGTGCTCAACTATGCAGAATGATCTCACCTTTCAGTCAATAAAAGAAGATGCATAGAAGTCATAATGCAAAAGCACTTTAACTCAACTGCATCTCAATTTATATTTCATGTAGTGGTGTACAGCAAAAGTTAAAATCCTAGTCACATCTGTAATCTCAGAGCAACTGGAAAGTGGAAATTGTATTATGTATGAAACAAAGCAAAAATGTCTGACTGGACACAGAATTTGATTTAAATATACACTAAAGAACTTTAAATAAACTTGACATAAAAAAACATACTAAATCAGGCTTTTAGGATTACAGACGACAGAAAAAGTTTTCTTAATGGGATGGGACTTAAGTTTATTTTCCAAAGACATGAATTAGTGTATGAAACACCTGTAATGTCTTTACATTACATGTGGAAAATTAATAACTTACAAGCAGACAGGACTGCCAATGATTCTTGGACTCTGTGTGTTCAGGTGTTTAGATTACTTGCTCGACAACGGGGCAAACCCAACTCTGAAGAACAGTAAAGGTTACAGCGCCGTCCACTATGCTGCAGCTTATGGGAACAAACAGCATCTAGAACTGGTCAGTAGTGATTTTTGCTGAGTCTTTGTTATGGTGCATTGACTTCATTGACTGACCTAACTGAAACTCTGTTACTCTTACAGCTCTTGGAGATTTCTTTCAACTGTCTCGAAGAGGTTGAAAGTAATATTCCAGTCAGTCCTTTGCACTTAGCTGTGAGTATGATTACAATGAAATCACTGATAAAGACTTTTAAATTAAGCCCATCCTGTTAAACTGCTTTTGACTGCTACTATGTATGTCCTCTCTATAGGCGTATTATGGTCACTGTGAGGCGCTGCGTTTGCTTTGTGAGACGTTGGTGAGTCTGGATGTGCGGGACATCGAAGGCCAAACCGCCCTCCACCTGGCTGCTCAGAGAGGCTTTTCCACATGTGTGGAAGTTCTGCTGAAGCATCAAGCCTCTTACTCACTGAAGGAACACAAGCGCAAGTGGACGCCTCTCCACGCTGCAGGTGTGTGTGGATCCCTGGACATGTTTGGGTCCATATAAGATGAGACCTGAACAAACATACTGTTTTGTTTAAGAGTCCAATTGATGGCTTTTGATGGATGCTGTTGTGAGAATAAACCGTACAACTTTGTGGTTTAGATGTTTTACTTGGTTAGAACTTTAATGTCTGACCAACAGATCTTTGCACCACTGACTCATCATTTTATTCTTTTTTTTTCTGTGTGCAGCTGCTGAGGGCCAAGTGGACTGTCTGCTGTTATTGGTCAATAGGGAACAAAGTGCCGACATCGTTGACAGTCAGGACACACAGGGACAGTGAGTCACTTTGTATTGAATATTTGAATATTTGTTTATCGTGAAAAGATCTATAACTATAATATGCAAGCACAAAGCATGACAACCGCATGCTATATAGCACACATCACACCTTGTGTTTTGTTAAAGTCTGATCTATCTTATCTAAGACGATGTTACCAGTCTGGCACCATGCAAAAATTATCCTCCCACAAACCATCACAGCATTGACTTCTGTTTATTTTGTTTTCCAGGACGGCTCTCATGCTGGCAGCTCTGGGACGTCACACCGACTGTGTCCACATCCTGTTGGAGAAAAAAGCGAAGGCAGATGCTGCAGACAAACATGGCTTCACTGCGTTACACAGAGCTGTGAGTGTGTGCATGCCACATGCCACTTTTTAAAATTGTACTTAATAATTTTGTAAATAGAATGCTCTAGATGTAGTTTTTCCTCTTACGTCATGTCTTGTCTGCTCTGCCTACAGGCCATGTTGGGCAGTGACGACTGTGTGTCGGCTCTGTTGGAACATGGGGCTTCAGCTCTGTGTCGAGACTCTCAGGGAAGGACTCCACTGCACCTCGCTGCATCCCGCGGCCACACGGAGCTGCTCCACACTTTGCTAAAGGCTGCTAAGAAAGCTGACCCTCTGGACTCCATGCTGGACCACAGGGGCTACACACCCACCCACTGGGCTGCTTACCACGGTGAGACATCAGAAGTTATTTTACCAAAAAGAGTTTGGCTCAGTGTTGAACAGAGCAGATATTGACACAAATATCGATACATGTATGAATGTGCATTTTTAGAGCAGCACTCAGTGTGTTATCACTCTTTTTATACTGTATTACATCATTTTTGTTTCCCGTCTTCTTCAGGGCATGAAGGATGTTTACACATTTTACTTGAAAACAAACTTTATAGCAACCAGGAGGGAAATTCATTCACTCCATTGCACTGTGCTTTGTGAGTACCATAAATGCTTCCATACATGTGTATACATACACGTGTTTATTAGCCAGTAAATTGAGATGGTTCTTCATCTTTTTAATGTGTCTGTTCTTCTCACACAGAGTTAATGGACATGATGTTGCTGCAGGACTTCTAGTGAAGACTGTTGGCTCTCAAAGTGTCAACATCAGTGATGCCAAAGGAAGGTGGGTTTCATTTTCACAACAGATCTGTTTCATGCAACGCTGTCAGTATGGATCAGTCTACAGATGCTGTAACTGTTAGCCTTTTAAGTAATTTTTTGTATTTTGGAAGACTTTTGCAAACAGTAGAATACAATAGTTACATCACTCATAATCAACATGGTAATGATTGTTAGCTGTGTTTGAGTTCAGAATATTCTACAAAAGAATTTAATTAATCTAAAAAGGCATAATGTGACATATACAGAATAAATAAATCGCTATCTCTATTGTGCATCCTGTATTTTGATGTGTGTGTGTTGCTTGAGTGCAGGACCCCGCTGCATGCAGCTGCTTATTCAGGAAATGTTGCTGGGCTCCAGCTGGTCCTGGCCCAGGGAGCAGAGGTTAATGCTGTGGACCACAGTGGATGCTCTGCTCTGATGGTTGCTGCTGACTGTGGACAGACCATGGCTGTTGGTAGGTGTGACAATAAAGTTTTATCTTATCTTGTCTTATTTCTGAGCCTGTTAAAACATTATTTTCTTTTCTGCACTTGGGAAACTTTAAAACAGATGAAGATCATTTCAGCTTCTTTTGGCACACATTTTGCCCCTCACCGTCCTCACCAATGGTTACCTTTCATGCACCAGTTTGCTCCCCTGTCACATTGACAGTCTGTCCCTCCACGTGATTTTGTTGTTGCTTATTTTCTGCATTTCAGAGTTCTTGCTGCACAATGCGAAGCCAGACCTGACCCTGGTGGATGTCAATAATAACACAGCCCTTCACTTAGCCTGCAGCAAGGTTTCATATACACATACATACACAAACACACACACACACTAATAGGTGTACTGTAGCTTGTGCATGCAGTGGCACTTTAACCTTTGCATGAGTGTAACACAAGACGATTGTAGATAAGGTGACAGTCTTTCAAAAATATGAAGTAGCCCATATTGAAAATTAGATTAAAAATATAATTAAACCTGTTTTTAGAATTAATATTATGTTATTCATACTCTACTAAAGTATGAAATAGTTTTTGTCAGGGATTAGTCAAATTAACGATTAAACATTGCTACCCTCACAGGTTGGTACCAGAAATAAAGTAATTACAACTAATTATTAACATTTTATTAATGTACAATACCATTTAACTGTTACACAGCCACCTGTCACTAACCTGGACCGCAGGCATGGCAGACGACAGCTATCCTTCCTCATGCTGATGCCTGGATGTTGTAAATCAGCAAGGAGGAAAGTAGGATAGGTGCTATCTAGTAAAACCAGCATGGATTAGCAGTATTTGAATCTAGAAAATGTAAATAAGGTTGTATGAAGACTGTGTCAGAGTAAACTGCTATATAAGCACTCAACTGCAGCAGTGCACAACTACATTCAGCACAGGCATGCTAATGTAACCTGCAAGGTATTTTTATTTCTTAACTTTTATTTTGTGACTTGTCATGTTTTGCCACGTTCATATGCATGGTGCAAAGTGTCACACATTTCAATAATATTTAAAGTGTGATTTTGTTACTGAAGGTAATTGAACCTTATCAGTTACAATGCATTTTGACAGTTTCTGAATGTTTGCTTACTTTTAGACTAGCTGACTAGTCTAAATATCTTTTTTTTTCGTCATCAACAGGGAAGTTTTTCCTGAGTAACATACCTACTTTTGATTTCATCAAACCCTACAATGTCTCGTAGTACTAAGAATATAATATTGTGTTACTGCCATGTTACAAGGTGTGCATTTCACTAAATGAAAAGGTAAAATATTTGATTACATTTCAACCACAGGTTTTGCATCACATTTTGACAGTTTTTTTTCTCTTCTCCTTCTTTTTAACAACCTCTAGCTTTTTAATCTGCAATATTTAGCTATTTAACTTTTAGTACCATGTGTTTTCCTCTGCAGGGTCATGAGATGTGTGCCCTGTTGATCCTGGGGGAAATCACTGACTCCTCCCTCATCAATGCCAGAAACAACGCTCTTCAAATGTGAGTTGTCTTGAAGCACTGGCCACTGTACCTGCATGCAGTTAAGCCGAATACCACTGAACTACGAAATAAAATAATTAGCCTAGCATGTAGGATTAACAAAATCAGTGTGGATTCTGAAGTGCATTGTGTGCAGATAAATTCTTGATTGTATTTTCATTTGTCCTTAGTGCACTCTAGCCTGACCCATCTCTCTTCCTCTCGCAGGCCCCTTCACATTGCAGCAAGAAAAGGTCTGGCGACTGTCGTGCAGGTGTTGCTGAGTAGAGGAGCAGCAGTCATGGCCGTAGATGAGGAGGGTGAGCAGGAATAATCACACTTTAGTGATGAAATACCAAAGCAGATCATGTTTCCTGAAAAAAAAAAAAGCCCCTGAGAGGTACCATGTGGTAACTCTTTGCCTGTTGATCGTCCGCAGGCCACACACCAGCTCTGGCCTGTGCACCGAACAAAAACGTAGCAGACTGCCTGGCCTTGATCCTCTCCACCATGAAGCCTTTCCCTCCCAGAGAGGCCGGCACAACCTCCAACTTCTGCCCCATCCTGAAGAACTGTGGCATCGCTGCCACTTGTGGGTCCAGTGGAAATCTGTGTCACGCCTAAATCAACGACCGCACAGATACCGTTGACCTGACAGAGCGAAGGTTCACCCCAGTATAGCCCAAAGGCACCCCACACACGTCTCCACGAACATGTGTGGTCATGCATAGCTTCTTCTCTCATGTCATGACATTTCTACATGTGTCATGCAGCTGCACATACTCCATATACTCATGTACCAGTAGCAGCGACTGCCTCTCTTAAATCTAGTCTTACCCCTTACTAATATTAGCAGACCTCTTAGATTATTTTCTCTGTTGCGTGTTATTTTAATGAAATGTTAACCATTAGAAATGAATGGAAGGTTTAACATGAGCACATTACGCAATCCTTCCCACCTGAACCCTGTCCACCGTCAGTATTGGCTAATTTTTGAGCTCTTTAACCACCAAAGCCTGAAATCTCCATGTTGGTCCTCAGCTGATACAAGTGCAAGAACGTTCGGTTGTTTGTTGTGTGTGTTTGATTTACGTGCGTGTCTGTCAGTGCTAGTTTGCATATTAGACACTGCTTCTTAATTTGCTTGTTTAAAATATCTAACAGGTACTGTAAGCCTTTTATGCAATCAATAAGACTCTATTTTCTTATCCTGCACAGGGTGTAGCAAACACTACACTGATATAAATAACCTTATTATTCTAATATTATCATGATTTAAATTTCACTTTCAGTTACAAGCATGTCAATAGTTTTAATGATATAGTTTACAGAGTGTAGTGTATATATAGTTCTTAATATGAAGTTAACCTTTTACTTGTATTATCTTGAAAAACCCAAATTATCGATAATTAACCTCAGGTCAGCGTGTACTGTACTGTAGGTGCAATAACAAGCACATCTTGAGCTGGATGATTCACACTAAGTGTAAAGTACGAGAGAAGTATTATATATCAGTTAAATAAGCCAATAAGAAAAGGGTTAAAGACTTAACTGTTTTTTATGTTGCTATACAGTTTGAATTCACAGGAAAGAAAATCTTTCAGGCTGAAAGTCTTGTGTATTTTGCAAATGTGTCATTTTACCATATCTCCATCTAAATGTTAATTAGCTTTATGATTTTTATTTTTTTTTTAATTAATGGTTAAAGTGCAAAAGCCCACATCACCTTTTTTTTCTTAATGGCAGTTAGAGACCCAAAGATAACTAATATCCTCTAATGTAAAACCAAAAAAGCAGAAAATCTCTCATTTGAGAACACTAAACTAAAAAAAATGGCAAAAAATCTACAGGTTTTCAACTTTCTTATTACATTATTTGGGCGAAATCTCTTTAAAACACTACATTAGGTGAAATAATTTATAATTAGGGTTTTTGTGTGATTTTTTACACAAGTTCTTTGTTTAGTGGCCCAGTGGAAAAATCCCCAGTGTAAGCCATTTATTTGAGTATCCAGTATTTACTGACATTCAATAAATTTAGTCCTACTAAATATTTGAAATATTTTTTGATCAAAATAAAGAAAACTGGCAGAGTTCCATATCATTGAGTTTAACTTGATAAGTATATATGTGCTGGTACAAACATGTCACTGCCTTTCTCTTTAAACATCATGCTTTTGTAAATGGTGCTGTGCATTAAATGTTTACCCTTTTTATAATTTGAAAGTTATTTACAGCCTTTGCCCCTTTTCTAATCCCCTGTCTGTTTAAACTATTTGCACTCTGACATTAAAAGTTTACATTTTGCAGCAGGGTATCCTTCTTAGACTTATGCAACTATTATTTCATATTTGAAAGTGTGTTTTGGAAAGTTAACACTAGAAGTGATCTCGTCTTCTCCCTTGTTTCAATTGAAAAAAAAAAAAATTAATGGGAAAAATCTGTTTGGCATTTCTGAACACAAGCTGCAGTGAAATGTGAATAATGTTCATCTTCAGGAATTGCTCTGTTGCAGCGTTTCATGTGAACAAACTGTCTTCCATACATCTCACTGAGATTTCAGGGTGTAATAACTTCAATACTCTGAGTGGTTTCGTTGTGGTTGGCATTAATATGAAAATAAATAAATCATTACCATCTGATGGTTTGTGCAGTTTTTTTGATTCTTTAAGGATGACTCTCCTCTTACATTTTACTCTGCTGCAGTCTGCATTGTGATGTACTACTTTATGGTGTTGATATTAACTAATATTCAGACATGATTATGATAGAATTATATGGAGGTTCTTAAAGTACAAAAAACAAATGGATCATTGATGAGAGTTCAGTAGAATGGAACCCAACAAATCTAGGAATGCTTTACTGTGTTCAACAAGCAGGACCTTCCTCTACTGCCACTGGCTGCTTTTCTTCTAGTGAACCCATTGCCAGAAGTCATGTTTCTTCTTTTTCTCCTCTCTCTGTCCATCCTTATGTAGACACACTGCAACCACATCCTCACTGCTTGCTTGCTCTCTTTTTCTCCAGAAACCATGTCTCTTCTCTCTTTTCTCCTTTTGGTTTTAGTGCTGTGCAGCCAGAGTTGCAGACACTGAGGCTTTTTCCTGCCCGGGAAGGCATCTTGTAAGCCGGTATTTTTGAAAATCATGGTGCCAGCTACTGCAAGGTGGTGCAGTTGGTAGCACTGTTGCCTCACAGCAAGAAGGTCGCCAGTTCATGTCCCACTGGGGGCATTGGGATCTTTCTGCATGGAGTTTGCATGTTCTCCCCGTGCAGCGTGGGTTCTCTTCGGGTTCTCTGGCTTCCTCCCACAAGTCCAAAAACATGTTGAGGTTAATTGGTGATTCTAAATTGTCTGTAGGTGTGAATGTGAGCGTGCTTGGTTGTCTGTCTCTAAGTGTGACCCTGCGATAGACTGGTGACCTGTCCAGGGTGTCCCCTGCCTTCGCTCTAAGTCAGCTGGGATAGGCTCCAGCCCCCCCACGACCCTGGTGAGGATTAAGCAGATGGATATAGATAACGGATGGATTAATTGTGCCATCTATAAATCCAAAACCTTTTTTCACTCATGCAGCTCCATATCACTCTCCTACATCTGTGCTTCACTGTCAGGACTATACATTCACTGTGGTAATCCTTCTTTATTTAGCAAAGTTTAATTTTGCAGTTGCATGCCAAACAGCAAGCAAGAGTTCTTTCTTGAACACTGTCCACAGTAGTTGGTGGTGTGCATCATTCTTCACACTGTTTGAACTGCCACAGTAACTCAAATTTCCACTGATAATGCCTGTGTCAAGTCTGTTTTCAGAGATGCATTGTGCAAGTATGGTGTTATGTTACAAGGACAACCACTGCAGCTTTGATTAGTGGTACTATGGTTGGTTCAGTGTGTACGTTTGATTACTGCTTTCTGATTGCTGATTGTTTTCCATGATGCTGGCACACTGACAGACATGGCTACAGAAGCAAAACTGAGAAGGTTCTGCTGTTCACGGATCATTTTATAACCAATTGTCATGCAGTGAGGCTGACTGGAAATCACAGATGTTAAAACTTGTATGTCAGTAATTACAGACATAAACAAGTTTCTACCTCGGGGCCTGTATTTTCAATATAATCTTTCTAAAATGTTTGTTTTTGATCGTTCATGAGAAGAAGTACTTGTTAACTTGGCATTAGTGCCATTATTGATACACAATTTTAAATTATTTCACATGTAAATGGCATTACACAGGGCGACTCTCACTTCTGTTCTACCCTGTATGTTAGTATACTTGAACAATTGAACAAAGAAGGAAGGAGGGAACAAAAAGACTGAAATTAACATGTCTATTGTTTGTTTTAAGACACAGTTAAAGTTCTTATGTTTTAATATCTCCATGTAGTCCCTGCTGGTCGCCGGTAGAGGTTGATAAAATATCGCATTTTACAGAAAGCTTCCATAAACCAAGCGGATAAAAGCCGTTTGGTCCCTCCCGGCTGCCGTCGCCGGTCCGGGCTACACAGTTGAACGACAGCGGTCCGTCCGCTGTAGCATCACCGTCGGGCTGCGTTCTCTTTAGCCAGTCGCAAAAATGGCGAACGTGGTGCTGGAGTTCAAGGCTTCTGCCGGTGACTCGGAGCCACAGAGCCGCCCTGTCCTGATTATCGGGCAGCACACCAACCTGCAGCAAGTCAGCTGGAGCCAAATCAAAGGAAAACTGCAGCCAGTCGTTAGCAAAGAGGTAATCCTGAGAGCGCTAATGATCGCTGGCTGACGGCTAACGCTAGCACCAGGCCAGCCGAAGTTAGCGCAAGCTAACGCAGCTAAGTTATTTTAGAGCTACAACACAGTTAGCTATCGTTAACTAGTCCCAAGGGTGTAGGATATCCGTCTGAGTTAGTGAGTTAGTTACACAGCTAATTCTAACTGCAGAAATACTAAGGAGACGTCAGTGCTCTTTTTGGATTTATTAGTCAGTAAAAAGTAAATTGCAGCCACAATAAGGCACATTTGTTAAGTGTGTAAAGATAACCAATTGTCATGGCACTCTGGTAGTTTGTGGTACCAACCGACTTCCAGAAATTATGAACTTCTTCAGGAACGAATGCTTATTTTGCAACTATGGCACAATTGAGGTTACAGTCCCCTTTTTTCATTTCCTAACTTTGAGAGGTTTAATTTCCCCTCGATATTAGGAGGATAGTGTGGCCTTGTCAGTGCTGTAAATCTAACACTGTTTGGCATCTTGTTGATGTTCCTTGTTCAAGGTGCTCTGTTGAGTGTTTAGGGCTCTGACAGGTTCCAACAGTCTGACCCAGACTAAAATACTCCTGTGGCACCCTATGGAGCCGTAAACACTGTGTTATATTATGCCATGCTAAGTCTTCAGAGGTGGTTGTGCAACGGTTTATAAAGAGAGACTTGAGAGAGTGAGCCTGAGAGGTCATGCAATGGTTGTCCTTCTGAGTATTTGTCAGCAATGATCACTCAAAATGATTGTTACGCTCCTTCTGGCAGTGCTTCAATTATTCTTGTATGGTTAAAGGTATTTGCTATGTTTAAGCTGGTAAAAGTAACACATCCTACACATATACTGACTGATTTCCTTCTTGTTTTGGTCTTTTGGAAATATTAAGCATTCATTAGGAATAAGACCGATGACTGTTCAGCCTGACATTGCTTCAGAGCTCCTTAACAATGCACACACACATTTAAACTGCTGATGAGTAACAAAACTTTACAAACCTGTTGCTTAGCTGTGCTGTTCTGGCCTAAACATCATCAGTACCATGTTAAATATTACAACAAATGGTATTTCCATTTTAAAGATTATCCAGTAACAGAAAATTGTAAATACAAATTGCGTTAGATCAGAATTACTCAGGCTGAGCAACTATTCCACTTTTAATCTGAACTGCAATTTAAAACTATGAATGAGCAAATCGTAAAGGCTTCAGCCTACGATACACATTATGCAATATGTGTGACACAGGGTTTAAAACTGTTGTCAACGATTTTACAAATTCCTACTGTCTTCCTTGTGTGACAGGCATGTTCAATACTGAACTGAGGCTTGACTCTAAAAGATGAAATTGCTTTAAACCAAACCACAATATCTGTTAGAATAATAAGAATTATCCACAAATCTTTTGGCTCTAATAATTACCGCCCCAAAAATCCTGCAGGCTGTTCATCACTTGTACTTGTTTTGTGAATGAATCAATGTGAGTACAAGTAACTGATGCAGGATTTCAAAGTTGTTTAACAAGATGATGACAAACAGTAGTTTTATTCTCTTTGTGTTGAACCAGAAATGTCTCCTGTTTTCTCAGATTTGGCAGGCAGCTCTCAGTGCTTTGAACCCAAACCCCACTGACAGCTGCCCTCTGTACCTCAACCATGCTGCAGTGGCCTCCCTTCCTTCACGGGTCAGTAGGCACAACAGCCCATCTTCTGCCCACTTTGTCTCCCGTCTGGTCCGTTCCTGCCTTCCAGGAGGGAATAACCGCTGCATCGTGGTCAGTAACTTCATCAGATTTTACTTTTTTGCCTTTCATGTCATATCTTTTCAATGTGTATGAGGGGATCAATCAACTCTCTTTTCCTCACCTCCTTCAGGGAAGTCAGAGAGTACTTTTAGCTACAGAATAGATCTGCTGTTTAAACAGCAATAGTGTCCTTTTGTGTTTCTCTCTGGGAGTCTTATGGCACTCGAATCCGGGTCATCCAGAGTTAAGACAGCTTGTGTTTTCAAGGTACTAACAAATGGGTGTTTCTTGCCTCTCCAGATGGTGTGTGAGCGTTCAGATGTGTTTGCATCCTCCTGTGCCATCGCCAGGGCCTTCCCCATCTTTTCTCGCCGCTCCACATCCTCCCGCAGGGCAGAGAAGAAGCACGTGACTGTGGAGTTTGTGATCATTGGGCAAGACAACAATTCTCTGGATGCTGCAGAACTTGAGGTACTCTGAAGTTTTGGCTCATAATTGTTCTTTTTTCAATACAGTTTGCCTCTGGCAGTGTTCTGCTCGGGAACAGCCTGCTTTAAACTACTGTAGTGTCTGTTAACTGCACTCTGCTTTAGCTTGAAGGCTTTTCTTTTGTTTAGTGTCTTTCCAACGCTGCTGATGGAGTTCGGCTGGCAGCTCGCATTGTAGACACACCATGCAATGAGATGAACACAGACCACTTCTTGGATGTAAGTGAAACTATGAACATGAATGAATACGTATCCCCTACAGAATTCTCTACATTATAGTGGGAACATTTTCTCATGCAAGCGTGTTCCTCATTTTATCCAATTAATACTTACCCATTTTGTAGACACACAACATGTGAAAAGAAATTATCTGTGATTTATTGTTAAGTTGACAGTTTGTTGGCAAAATCTGCTTTGCAAAATCAAGTAAAGCAGCTTTATTCATTCATTTAAAATAAATGTAATTATTTAATTTACCATCTTTCCAAACACAAACGGTGGCTGTTTAAGTAACATAATATCTGCAGCCTGTAAATGTTTACAGCAACATGACTGCTATTTAATTACTGTTTATGTACAGCTTATTAAAACTAAAAAGGGATATTAAAAATAGTGTGACCTGTCTAAAGAGTTACTGTTGCCTGCCATCACCAACATCTGTTTCTGGTTCAGGAAATCAAGGC